CTCAAACTTTGGACGCACCGAGTAGCCCTCGCGACGGATGCGTGTTGTCTCCAACATGCCTAAGAGCAAGCAAGTGCAAGCAGGATAGACAATGTCACAAGTTGACATCGCACGTTGAGGTTCAGACTCAGGCTTGAACAAGGGCGCGAGACAAGTGTCGGTGGCTGGTCAAGGGCGCAGCCATACCCGTGTAGTTGAGCTGAGTCATGACAAAATCATCTTGGAAAAAGTTGGGCGCCTTGCCTGTGTTTGGCTTGATGCAACTATGACGTTGCGCAGTCGAGCACAGAAGGCGCGATAAGGTGTTGACGGCACCACCATCGCTCAGGCAGAAATAAGAAGAGAAGAACAAGAGGGAGGAACAAGTCAAACAAACAAAAAATAAAAAAAAGCACACAAACGCGAACGCTCAAACGCTTACCGAACAAAATGTGGACGACACTGGCCCATCTTTTCGACCAAAAGCTGGAGAGACTGGGTGAACTGGCGACCCACGGAGGCTGCACGACGATGTGCCGTGTTTTGCGAAGTCTAACCAATATCAAAGACATCGCAGCCAATCAGCGACCATGCTTGTGTGTGTGTGTGTGTGTGTGCGCGTGTGCGTGTGGGGGCACCTCACCGCAATGCCATTTGCTCCAGATCGAGCAGTGTCGCGATGGGCGTCCGCTTCAGCTGTCGTACCGGGGACAAAGAGAAGTGAGAAATACGATCGGCAGCAAACGAAAGACATGGCCGGGGCTCATGTGACGGACCCAAAAAGAGTGTGGCGAGAAGCTGCTCGCTGGAGCTGCGCAGCACATGAACCACATCGGCCGATAGGCTATACAGGTAGCATGCACGTTTAAGTGTGAGCACAATCTGAAAGGCGAGGGAGCGAGGCCATTCAAACCCAGGATGCAGCTTCTTAGACGCACGAGTCGCGGTTTTTCTCCAAAAAGCCCAAGCCCAGATACTCGACGTCACCGGCATAATGTTTGATGGTGAAGACGGCATCATCATTGCGGGCTGGCACAAAGCGGTCATTGTCCTTGTGGTTTTGGACAAACTTGCGCACTGCGGTGTGGCCCCACACGTTGTTGCAGCCAAGGTGAGCGGCTCAAAGGGTGTACATGTACGTGCGATGCTGTGCGTTTTGTCGAGCCGGAGCACAAACTGACCCAACGAGTCATCTGAGCCGTTGGGGAAGAGCGATTCCTCATCAAGCAAGGGAAAGAGGCCCATGGGCCGTTCCAGGTGCATGTCCAGTAGCGGCCTGACGAAGGACAGCAGTTTGAGCAAATCAAGCAGCGGCTGCACAAGACGCCAAGTCCAGCACTCACTTGTTGTCAACGTAGCTGATGTGCATGGTGTCGATGCCTTCCTTGCGGTACTCTTCAAGTTCAAGCTCAAAGACGTATTGATTGAAAAAGTGCTGCAGTTGTTCGTTGGCAAGGCTAGCGAGAAGTACGCACCGTACAAGCACACAGGCATGAGCACCGGGCTGAAGCTGTCAGCCCCAAAGTCAAGCTTTTTTTTTTTGCATAAGCTGGTGTGCCTTGAGAGAAACGGAGGTACTAGTACGTACTTGATGCACCACTGTTCAAAGCTGTTGGCTTCAAAGTTTTCAAACCCAAAAATATCTAAGCAAAGGGCCACCCGACAAGCACCAGGTTGGTCATCGGAAGCAGCAGGTGCCACGAGCGGAAAAGTGAAAAGAAATTCTAGCTTACCAAGAATACCAATGCTGTTCTTGATGGCATGGCGTTGGGCAGAGGGGGCAAGGAGCTCATTGATTTGGCTGATCAGCCACGAGAAGAGACGTCCGTAGATGGCTTTGGCTGCCGCATCGCGCACGTCTGTGATCGTCAAAGATGCAGGCAGAGAAGGCAGCAGCTGGGTAAGCAGTCGCGAGCAATTGTCAAGGGCGCTTTGTTCGCTGCAAAACACACCGTAGGCCGCAGGGATGTCGAGCTGTTTGCGAATGGTTTCACCCCGGGTAATGTTGACCTGCGTCTGGAGGGCATCCTGTAAAAGGACAACGTCCACACCAAGGAGCTCGGCAATTTTCAGCAGGGAGTCCTTTGAGTCATCGTCAACCTCGGCCGCATCGCTGTCACCCTGTGCATTGTAAAGGCAAAGAAACGAGAGGAAGTGGGGGCGGGTTGAGAGAGAGAGAGAGAGAGAGAGAGAGAGAGAGAGAGAGAGAGAGGAGAGAGAGAGAGAGAGAGAGAGAGAGAGAGAGAGAGGGAGGGAGAGGAGGAAAAAAAGGGAAGAAGTTGTTCCTTAGAATGCAAGGATTGCAGCTCTGATTGGAAAAGGAAAATGCGCACAAAAATGGTTGCAAGGCACCCGCGAGGCACCAACCTCGGAAGAGAATTCAACGTTGCCAAAATGCAGAATGGCTGCCAAAAGCTTGAAAATAGCATCTTGCTCATCTTTGTTGAAGCCAATGTCATAGAGGGCCGCGACAACTTCCTTGAACATGGCTTGCTCGTCACAATCAACGGCACCGATGTTGGACAGAAAGGGGAAGTTGTTGGGGTCATCCAGCCCCATGACAGCGGCGTCAGGGGCATGGAAGACGTAGTAGAGCATGTGGAAGTTTTGCTCGTCGGGTTGCTGACGTACGACGCGGGACTTTTCGAGTAAATATTCGGAGATCTTGGCTCCAAGTACTAAAGAACGAGAGTGTGATTGGGTTGACGACGGGCGAGGACCTGACTATGGGGCGAAAGGCTTGAATTGAGGACAGGTCAGGATGCGCATACCTTGACCCTTGGCATCGAAGACGAGTTCAGTGTATTTGCCGAAGCGGGAGCTGTTATCGTTCATGATGGTTTGGGCATTGCCACAGGCTTCAAGGAGCGGGTTGACCTTTGGCGAATCAGGCCGGGGTGAGCAGCCGGGAGCTTGTCTGTAGGGTTAGCAAATGCGCATTTCAGCAGGCTGGATGACAAAAACGATACCTGGAGGATCTTGCGTTCAAGGCTCCCGCGCTCTGTTCCTTTACCGATGCTCGAGCTGAGGTCGACGATGTGTCGGATGATGAGCTTGGAAGACTCTGTCTTACCAGCACCCGACTCGCCGCTATGCCGAGGTGTCAAAGCAAAGCAAGGGTTGGCATGGTGAGGCCAGCGCGGGGTCAAGCGCAGGGACAAGCGCCAAGCCGTCTCTCAAGCCCACAGCACAGGTACAGGAAAGAGAATGCAGACCTAACGACGCAGCATTGGTTGGTCTGGTTGTCGACCATGCTATGGAAGCACCAATCAGCAATGGCGAATATATGTGGCGGATGATCGGATTTGATGGCATTTCGATACTTGAGTTGCCACTAGAAGCACACCGGGTGGATAAGCGACTGGAGGACGATGGGTCAGGGAGCAGCGGGCGAGGAAAAACACTCAATGCACCTCGCGCGAGTAGATGGACAGGGGACGGAAGGGGTTGATGGCGACCAAGATGTCACCGATGTATGTCTGCAGCCACAAGAGGAGGTCGGGGTCAGCAAATTGACACGAGCCAAAGCAGGTGTGCTCAAGGCGGGCCAGCGAGCAAGGCTAGGGGACGAACGTAAATTTGATCTTGATCGTAGCGCTGGTGAAGCTGATCAAGCAAAATTTGCTCATCGAGACGGGTCAGGGAGGCCAGGTCATCGGCGCTTTCCTGGAAAGCGGCCTCGATAACGCCACTCATGATGCTGGTGCAGGCACGAAGAGCTATGGCATGCACACGGCGTGGGACATAGAAGAAGACAGATGGGCGAGTAGCAACGCGCCGAGTGAGAGAGGCATGGGAAGGGAAGGAGAACGAGTGTGTGTGTGTGTGTGAGAGAGTTTGAGAGAGCGAGAGAAAGGGCGAGTAGCGGCGGCAGCGGGGGTAGAACCAGAGGGAGGCAAAGGTCAGACAGATGAAAGGCGAGGGGTAACGCCATGGAGCGAGACTGCGACAGGTCTGGGTGTATCTGCCTAACAGCCGTTTGGGCTGCTACCTACCGGTTGAGGGCTCGACGAAGGGACCACAGTGAGTTTGTCGACCAAAAGGGTCCACTGTTCATCGGCACAGCCAGAGGCAGTCCCTGTTGTGCCTGGGGTCAGGCCACCAGAGACCAAACAAGACTGGGACCGACCAGTCCAGCCAGTCGGTCAATCCCGGCACAAAGAACACCAAGGCAGAGAGACCACACACAGCCAAGACTTTTGATGCGGCTGGTTCACTGAACACCCAAATACACAGTGAGAGAGAGAGAGAGAGAGAGAGAGAGAGAGACATGTACGTGTATGTTTGTGGTGAGTTTGGCAGTGCAGTCTACAACGGCACAGGGAGACGGAAAACGCGATGGAAGAGCTTGGCTGATGGCGAGTAGGAATGAATCTCATCAGGTCCGGGGATCTGCGCTGATAGAGGGGTCACATCCCATCCCTTCGGGCCAGTGGGCTGCCCATTCAACATCGCCCGCCCCCTATGACCAAGTTTTTTTTTTTTTTTTTTGGGTTTGTCTCTATGGTGGACTTTTGTGTTTAATTTGACTGGCATGGTGCGCGAGGAAGCCTCGATCCATTGGTGCACCGTCCCCCACCCTCATCAAGCTCCTGTCTCAACTGTTCCCCGCCTCCATCCCCCAGCCTGTCCTGTGCGCCCTGCAGCCCATGACCGCCACCCACCACCACCCGTTACCAAATCTGCCCCTCTTTACCCTTTCTCTCTGAAGGAGAGGTTCACATCCCATTACCAAATGACATTTCCTTTGAAAAAGAGAGAGAGAGAGAGAGAGAGAACGAGAGAGAGCAAACATGCAAAAACGGTGCATACCTGCAAAACCACAAAAGTGTGATAATGTGTCACGGATGCTATACAGCACAAGAGTGTGATATAAACTACACTTCCGTAGAGGGCTGGTTGAAGGGATCGTTGGCGATCGATTTTTTTTTTTTCCTTTGGGCTATTGGTGCTGGAGGCGCGCGCTTGAAGAGCGCTTCAGCGAATTAATTGTTGTCATAGCAGTCGTTGACAGGGTCACCATGTCGGACGATGTCAAGGCACTGTTTCGGCAGAAGCTGGCCAGTTCGCAAAGTAAATCGTTGGAGGCACTCAAAGCGGCCAAGCGTGCCAAGCTTCAGAAACAAGCGCGCGCTGATGCGCAGCAGGATGCTGCCCTACAGCGGAAGCTCGCCGAGAAACAGCGCCGGGATGCTGCCGCTCGCGCCGTGCAAGCGCAGGCAGAGGCCAGCCGCCCGTCTGTGCGATATGTAGCGCCGCCAGAGGGTCGCGATCACAGCCAGCCAGCCCAACAGCCCGCCACGGGCCGTATATCTGACGGTGAGCCCGCCACTCTGTGCCGTGTCCCAGCACCAGTGACTTTCGGCCCTCAGCTCATCCTCGCTCGGAATTGTATCCTTGGTCGCTATTCGCAGCCAAGCGAGCTCGATTGGCCAAGGTTGAAAAGTACAAACGACCCCTAACAACTGCCGCAAGCAAAGATTCTGCAAGCAAACAAGAGCCCGCGGCGTCGTCGCGGCAAGCACGTACGGTCTCGTCCTCCGTGCTGGCTCATCTCTTTCGTGCATCACCGGCTTCACTCACACTGGTGTTTGTCCTAGGTGACGCCGCTCCAAACAAAGGCTCCACGTAGGCGCACATTTCTAGTCTCCTCGCTTCTCGGCCGTTAACTTGGCTTCTCTTCTGACTATGCCACCCCATTTTGCCTGTCCCATCTCTTGCCCTCTTCTAGAGCAGAGAAGGGTAGCGTGCCGGCCGGCTTTTTCGACGATTCCGTTCAAGATGCCAAGGTCGGCGAATGCAGGTCCAGGCCTCCACTCAGGCACGCGTTTGCTTCCACTTGGTCTGACAGTGGGTGATTGGGTGCTTGCGCCGGGATAGGTTCGGAAGGCCCCTCTGCCGCACGAGACCAAGGCCGCGGAATGGGCCGAATTTGAAAAGGAAATTGAAAAAGAAGCTGAGGTATGACCATGCTTCTTCAATGCTTGCACCCAAGTGTCCTGCCCCATCGTCTCATCTTCTTTGACCCGCGTGCTTCCTTAAGACTACCGAGGCCATCATCGAGGCCGACACCAATCAAACCACAATTCAGCGCACACTCTTCGAGCTCGAGGAGCAAAAGTTAGTGCCACAGACATCGAGCACGCCAACGTCATCGCAACCCTTTTCTTTTCCGTTTCGATTATAATGTAGAGGCGTCGCCTCTCTGAGGACGGTGCTTAGCTCTCACGAATGCGTTTCGTTTACTACACGTTTACATCATCGTTACAACCTTTAATAACGTTACGCAGACAACTAGACAAGCGAGTGGACAAGCTCCGCGAACTCAAGGAGCAGGCACAAACAAAAGCCGTCGCCGTGCGTAGCATGCTCTCCAAGCCCATGCTGTGCCACAGCCTGTCTACATGCCTCCCTTCTATTCCCAAAACTGACCGCTCAGCGGTCCAGGATCCATGTACATCACTCACGCGGCGTCCACTGTTTTTCTCTCGAATCGTAGACGGCGGCTGCCAAGGCTGCAGCCAAAGCAGATGGCAGTGATGACGATGGCGATGACGACGACGACGACGAAGACTGGGATGAGGAGCTGCAGTGGCGGTCACGCGCCATTTAGGATCAAGGCCTGCTCTATCCACAGCCCTCCCCCTTGCCCCCCGTCTCTCGCCCTACTCCCACAGCTGTGCAATTTGGAAGGATGTGGCGATCCGTAAGTCAAGGGGCAGGCTAGCGACCAGCATGCCTCTTTGCGCAGGGCTGAGGCTGTACGGTTGTTTGGACAACGTAATTGAGAAAACGAATACTTCTCCCCTGACCTTGATGGAGGAATCACCCGACGCTGTCAGCACACGGTTGTGATGCACGCGCACACAGGCCACAAAGTCGTCGTGCCGATGCAAGATCTGAAGCACGGCAAAGGTCTCCATGCTCCAAACCTAACGCCAAGTATCCAAGTGCCCCAAATTCAAGTGATATGTGAGCCAACAATACACTCCTAGGCGTCGACAGACTATGCTGTGAATTTTAAAAGCGCCCAGGACCTACCCGAACGGTGCGGTCGAGCGAGGCGGAAAAGAGTTTGCCATGAGGTTCACCAGGCATGAAATCAATGCTGTACACAATTGCCGTATGTCCTACGGCCACAATATCAGACGAAAATGAGGGCAGGGCAGCGGCATTGATCCTCCGAGCACCAGAATAGGCACAGAGCCAAGACCGCCAGGCCGAGTCAGACACACCGGAAAGTGCCTGCTTATATGCCAAAGTGTCTCGGTCCCAGATATGGAGCATGCCGTCCGAGGTTCCACCAATCAAATGCTGTGGCGTCAAGCACATGGAATATATGGCCCGCGGTTCCTGGGTGGGAAGAAGAAGGGATTGGAGCGGCGTATGAGATGTATCGCAAGGGCAATGCCGCAATCAAAAAAAAGAAAAAAAAAAAAAAAAAGAAAGGAGAAGGTGTGCTGGACAAACCTTGGTGCCCATGGGGTTTTGCAGAACCAGGGTCCGAATCGGGCTGGGTTCGGGGTCTTCCTCAGCAAATTTGAGCGAGCCAATGGTCCAGACTTTGATCATGGAGGAGTTGCCAACAAAGAGGAGGTCATGGCTGGCCACCAGCGCGCGTGTCCAATGCGAGAGATCCCCAATCTGGCCGAGCAGTTGATGACTATCCAAGCTCCACACCTAAGATGGTTGATTGCACAGCTAATAAGACACGACGGACAATTCTTGGCAACGGGTCAAGGGGACAATTTTTCCACGCACGTTGACGCATTGATGCGAGCCAGAGAAGAGCATGGTGCGCGAGGCTGCCAAGGCGCAGACGACGTTATCATGACCAATCAGGGTATCAATTTCCTCAAATGTCTCCAAGCTCCACACCTGCATAGTCCATCAACCGTACGTCAAAGTGAGCATTGCACGTCGCTATAGAAGAGAGAGAAAAAAAAATGTTCTGTAGTAAAAGAAGGAAGCTTGATTCGCAACTTTGAAATGCACTGCCACACCTTGATCAGGCGATCGCTGGACCCGCTGTATAGTTGATTGTTGACGAGCAGCAGGCAGTGGATAATGGAGCGGTGCGCGTTGATGGTACGGGTGCAAGCAAAGCTGGATCCAATGTCCCAGACCTAGCGGTTGGCAAAAGAAAAAAAAAAAAGGTAAGCTGTGCAATCAGACCGCGAGAAGACGCGTACACATGGGCGTGGACGTACGCGAATGGTTTCGTCGGCTGATGCTGAAATGAGGCGGTCGTTAGTGGCCACCAGAGCCCACACATGCCCCTAATGGGTTGTGGGCAGGTGTAAGATCAGGTTGTCCGTTGCAAGACGGTGGAATGGGTCACAAAAAGACATGAAACACATATATAATCTGGCTCGTACCGAGTGGCCAACAAACGTGCCCTGGCACTTGAACTGCTGCAGCATGCCCGAGAGGCCGACATCTGAGGGACAAAGACGGCCAAGTAAAAAGTACGACTGAGAACTGAAAGCGGCGCTCGGCGCTGTGCAGGCCAGCGCAGAAATATGACGGCGTACGGTTACTGATGCTGCGAATTTGAGATTGGACGACGGCCAGATCGTTCTAACCAAGCGGCCAGGGCGCAAGAAAGGATTATGAGCAAAAGCGGGCAGAAGAATGCCCCAGGGTGTGTGTGTGTGTGTGTGTGTGTGTGTGTGTAAAGGTTCACGGGTACGAGAACTAAACGCACATGGACAGTTTCGTGATTAATGCTGGCGTCGGCGACCTCGCGAGATATTTGCTGCACCGTATCTTCGAGATCGGCTAGAGTGCAGAGGGAACACAAGAGGGACCGACGTAAATCAGTTTTGATTCAGCAGCTCTCGGTCTTTGGGCAATGGACACCGAGGCATACGCACCGAGTCGGGTGAGAACCTGCTGTTCAAGAGTATCAAAGCGACTGGACATGTTGGCCAGCACACCGCGAAAAAAGTCGAGGTCTTTGCGCTGCCCATCAATAGTAATGGACATTTGATCAAGCTGCTGGTCTGTACGCTGCAGAACAGCTTTGACAGCCTCAAACCGGCATGACTGTAAATGTGCGTCCACTTCAGCTTGTGTGCCACGAAACTGCATAGGCCCGCGTAAGGGGAATTGTGAAGAAGAGCGGGTTGCGAGAAAAACAATTGAAAAGCCAAAAATTAACAAGCAAAAACACCACAGCAGCTAGAACAGAATTGAGGTGGAAGAGGGGGGGGGTGTTGGTTACTCGTCCAAGCAATCTAAAATAAGCCGTACCGTACACCCGCGATTATGGTGGGGACATAAGGAATAACGGCACGTTTTGTAGTGAGCTTCGAGATCTTTGCGGCGAAAAACGCCGCATTGTCGACTATGGGCACAGCTGGGGAAAGATTTGGGAACGGGCATGTCAGGGTCTGCAGCGCAAGACTCATGGTCAATCCGGGCACGTGGGAGTGTGGCTCGACATTTACACAAGGTGTTTGTTTGTTTGTTTGTTTGTTACATGTGTGTGTGTGTGTGGTTCCAGTGAGACCGCAGGCAGGGGTCGGGGCAGGGAGCCAACGAACCGGACAAACATGTAGCCACACGACTTTTTGTGGGCTTCACGCTCCGAGTACTTGACAATAGCGGGGCAGCCGGTGGGATCAACCTCGAAATCACGGCCCGGTTTGGAAGAGGGTCGCACACCGTAAGGGCACCGGGTTTTGAGATCATTGATCTGCTCTTGTACCTGCCAGGGCCCAAGCAGTGTGTGGATATGAAAAGCGGCCATCTGTGTGTGCGCGCGCAAGGAGGTGGACCGTGTGATGGAGCTTGACGTACGGCGCGATTGGCATAGACGGGCGATCGAACAAGGGGCTGTTTATCTTGGGGGCAGGTCTGTCCGGCTGGGGCGTTGAGAATGCAGTCTTGGCAAAAAGTGTGCTATGGGGACGTGGCAGACCAGGAGTTTGCATGAGCGTGGATCGGCATGGGGACACGGTGATGGAGCGAGCACCAGTGTGTGTGTGTGTGTGTGTGTGTGTGTGTACAGGGGGCAAGCAACAGACCCCACAGCGGGCGATGACGGGCATGGTAAAGACGCGCTGGCAGATGCGACAAATGAGATGGGAGGGGATCTGGACGGTAAAGGCCACAAGCTCCTCGGAGCCTTCTGGAATGGTCTGTTGGCTGGCACCGCTAGTTCCGGAGATGTGGGAGAGGGTGGAGATGTCAGAGCGAGTTTTGCGGTGGTTGGCCCGTCCAGCCGGACTAATTCCGGCTGGAGCTGGAGGGCCGAGGGAGCTGGCCCCGCCCGAGCGCAGTGAGTGCGCATGCGAGTGATTGGAATTGTTGGAATGAATCGATCGGCCGTCTGGGGTGGTCAAGGCAGATGGAGCAGGCAGAATGAAGAGTGGCAGCGGTAAGGTGCCGGGGTGCGTCTGCCCAAGGATGGTGATCAAGTGGCAGCCCATGGGCATGGGAGTGTAATGCAGGGGTACGGACCGAGATCGGCGTGGCTGTTCATGGTGGACCGTAGCTCCATGTGGTCGTCCTCATCAACAGTCGACTAAGAAGCGGTACCATTCACAGCAGGTGGCAGCCCACACGATGAATGTCGAGGCAAAGACGCTGCAAGTGGAATCCACCAGAACAATGGAAGAAACGCAGCCCAGTCAAAAAGAGATAGAAGCATTTGAGTGCTGGCAAGGCGGAAGATCGGACCTCGCCGCCGTGAAGGCCATCGAGCCGAAATGTCACGCTCATGGCGAAACTGCAGCACAAGCTCGCCTCATCCAGCCCAGAGGCAGAGGGCCCCACAAAAATGAATCCAGGACCAATCCCACACTCGTCCAGATCAAGATCAAGATGGTGCTTCGCTGCGGTGAAGGCGGGCTACTCGGGGCCAGAGCTCGACAAAACAGCGGCGCGCCTCGAAAAGTCGCGCGCGCAGGCTGAAGCTCTCTCTCAAAAAATTTTTTTTTGTCGACGGCGGCGGACCGGGAAACTGACATTTGGTTACAAGCAGTTTTGAAGTCTCCATGGAGACTGGAAGTCTGGTGAGTCTCAACCGTGGTCTCACGTGTTGGGGGTTAGGGTCGTTACCAGGACTACAATTTTAAAGGAATTTTATTGGGTTGAACTATTCAAAAGTTGTTAAAGGTACCAGTTGCGAAACTCGCACCTCCGAGACCCACCATCAAACGCAGTTCCAAAGCACACACGTGGCTACTCCTTCGTGTTCAGCCCCTTCCTGGTTCTCTTCTTCAACCATTATCACGTGGCGCATTGACGTTTATCCCTCTATAACCTTATGATCACCACCAAAATTACGCACACGTAAGAGCGTTCCTTGAGATGATCATGGGCTCCATTCCCCTCCGAAGCAATCACCCCTTTGTTTCCCTCTCGCACGTGGTGTGCTCCCTCTCTCTTGGTCTCTCTGTTCTTTTGTGATCGGATGCCTTTCCACCTTCAGCTTACGCGGTCCCCCCATCAAACCCCACCCCCAACCACAAGCTTAAGCCCCTTCCTTGTCAACCTCCTCAACGCTGTGTGTGTGTCTCTCTCCTTCCTTAACGTAAACGTTAAAAACCATCGGCGCGTGCATGTGTGCGGTTAAAATCACCACAACAACGTGTGTGTGTGTGTGGCCGCGTGTTCCCTCTCTCTCTCTCTCTCTCTCTCGCTCGCTCTTTGTTTCCCCGCGCGATCTGCCGGGGCCAAGGTGCATTTTCCACCTTGCCATCCAAAGGCAAAAAAAGGGATTTTAGACGACTCGCCCCGGTTCATCGACTCGAGCCGCGTGCACCCCGGTGTAGCCTGTCCCCGCTGCCCCAAATTTTTTTTGTCCTCTTGGACTCCGAAAGGTCGGAATTAGGATCGCTTCTTAGGTACGTCGCCCCTGTTCCAGCACGTGTCTGCACCCGTCTATATTGGCGGGGCAAGCGACGAAGGAAGCTGGGCGTGTGTCCGACACTTGCCACAACCGCAGATGCTCACGTGCCTGATGGGTTTGACGTAGGATCACCAACAACCGTTGACCATGCCCGCCGAAGCTCCCCTTGCGCTCAGCCAGCGCATTGTCGATGTGCTCGACAACAAGAAGGCCTCTGTTGAGGACAAGGTCGCGGCCCTCGAGGAGGTCAAGGCCATCCTAGAGGGTGACAACCTCAAGGCCTACGAGCCTTATCTCGTGGAGGTGCTGCTTCCTTGCCTCATTGCCCACTACGATGACAAGGTCTCGGATGCCAAGAAGCTCCTCAAGAAGGTGGCCCAGACCCTCATCGACAACTGCAACAAGTATGCCGTTGAGCGTGTCGTCAGCAAGCTCTTTGATGCCATGGACGATGCTCAGAAGTGGAAGGTCAAGCAGGGTGCCTGCCAGCTCCTTGGTCGCCTCGCCAAGAAGGCCAAGAAGAAACTCTCGCACTGCATTCCCGAGATTATCCGCGTCGTGCCCCACCTCATCCTCGACATCAAGAAGGAGGTCGGTGATGCCGCGCTCGAGGCCGTCGAGAAGTGCGTCGAGGTCATTGACAACAACGACATCAAGAATGCCGTGCCCCATCTGCTCAAGGCCATGAACGAGGTTGATGAGGTCCCCGAGTGCGTCCACACTCTGGCTTCCATCAAGTTCGTCCAGACTGTCGATGACGCCACCCTTGGTCTCGTCGTGCCTCTGCTCCTCCGTGGTTTCTCCGTCAAGAAGACCTCGACCAAGCGTCAGTGCTCCGTCATTATCAACAACATGTCCCGCCTCGTCGAGAACCCCAAGGATGCCGAGCCCTTCCTCCCCACCCTCCTCCCCGCCCTCGAGCGCGCCTCTGAGGAGATCTCCGACCCCGAGGCTCGTGAGGTTGCCGACAAGGCTCGTGCCCAGCTCGTGCGCATCAAGGAACACGCTGAGGAGTACCGCGCCAAGCACCCCGATGACCCCAGCGATATCATCAAGCTCTTCAGCGACAAGATTGGTGCCGGCAAGGTTGAGAAGAACCAGGTGGTCTTTGACTACGCTGCTGCCGCTGCCGCATCTCTGAACCACTCCAAGAAGTACAAGAAGGACCTCTGGACCAGCAACGTTGGTGGCTTCATCGCCGCTGCCCTGGACCAGGCCGCTGCAGACGCCGCCGTCGAGGCTTCCCTCTCCGTGCTCGAGAAGGAGGTCAAGTTCGATGATGACGATGATGAGGATGATGGTGCCGAGGTGCTGTGCGACTGCAAGTTCACCCTTGCTTACGGTACCAAGATTCTGCTCCACAACACTGACCTCAAGCTCAAGAAGGGCCGTCGCTACGGTCTCCTTGGCCCCAACGATTGCGGCAAGACCTCGCTCATGCGCGCCATGGCCAACCACGAGCTCGAGGGCTTCCCCACCACCCTCCGCACCGTCTTCGTTGAGGCTGATATTCTCGGCGAGCTCTCACACTTGAGCTGCCTCGAGTACGTCTTTGCGGATGAGGCCATCCAGCAGTGCGGTGTCAACCGCGACGAGATTCGTGCCATGCTCCAGAAGGTCGGCTTCACCGCCAAGATGTGCGACGATGCCGTCACCACTCTCTCCGGTGGCTGGCGTATGAAGCTCGCCCTGTCGCGTGCTATGCTTCAGAAGGCCGAGATCCTCCTCATGGACGAGCCCACCAACCATCTTGACGTTATCAACGTTGCCTGGGTCAAGGAGTACGTCAACAACCTGAAGAACGTCTCCGTCATTGCCGTGTCCCACGACTCTGGCTTCCTTGAGGATTGCATGACCGACATCATCCAGTTTGATGGCCTCAAGATCCGCCAGCACCACGGTAGCCTTTCCGCCTTTGTCGAGAAGGTGCCCGAGGCCAAGTCCTTCTTCAGCCTCAAGGAGTCCAAGGTCAAATTCTCCTTCCCCAACCCCACCTTCCTCGAGGGCGTCAAGTCCAAGGGTAAGGCCCTGATCAAGATGACCGACTGCGCCATGATCTACCCCGGCAACGACACCCCCACCGTGTCTGGTGTCTCCGTCCAGGTCTCCCTCTCGTCCCGTGTGGCCTGCATTGGTCGCAACGGTGCCGGCAAGTCCACCGTCATCAAGATGCTCACTGGTGAGCTTCCCCCAACCACTGGTACCGTCTGGTCTTTCCCCGGCCTCAAGATGGCCTACGTTGCCCAGCACGCCTTCCATCACATTGAGGAGCACCTGACCAAGACCCCCAACGAGTACATCCGTTGGCGTTACGAGTTTGGAGAGGACAAGGAGGCCCTCGAGAAGGACACCGTCAAGCTGACCGATGAGGAGCTGGAGTTCATGGCCAAGCCTGTCAACTACGAGTACGAAGACGACAAGGGCAACCTCAAGCGTGAGCAGCGTGTCATTCGCGAGCTCACCGGTGCCCGCCGCGACAACCCCGATAAGAAGAAGGGTGGCTACGAGTACCAGCTCATCTGGGAGAAGAACGGCAACCGCGAGTGGGTCCACGGTGAGCAGCTCGAGGAGTGGAACTGGCACAAGCAGCTCAAGTCTGTCGACGCCAAGGTCGAGGCTCGTGAGGGCATGTACCGTCGTGCTCTGACCACCTCCGCCGTCGAGCAGCATTTGATGGACGTTGGCCTCGAGGCTGAGTACGCCACTCACTCTCGTATTGGCGCCCTGTCCGGTGGCCAGAAGGTCAAGGTCGTCCTTGGTGCCTGCACCTGGAACCAGCCCCATATCCTGATCCTCGACGAGCCCACCAACTACCTCGACCGCGAGTCTCTCGGTGGTCTGGTCAAGGCCATTGAGGAGTACGAGGGTGGTGTTGTCATCATCTCCCACAACGACGAGTTCTGCTCCACTCTCTGCCCCGAGACTTGGTACGTCGGTGAGGGCCGCCTTGACTGCAAGGGTGATGCCGACTGGATGAAGAACGCCATGAAGGAGAAGACTGAGTTTGAGATGCTCGACGAGGTCACCGATGCTCTTGGCAACGTGACCAAGGTCGCTCAGCCCAAGAAGAAGGATCTCAGCCGCAAGGAGAAGAAGAAAGCCGCCAAGATCAAAGCCGCCAAGAAGGCTCGTGGTGAGGAGGTCTCGGATGATGAGGATTAAGCCTCGAACCATCTGAGTCTAGCTCACAGTCTCTGGGCCCGTGGGTTGCGGATTTTTAACACCCGCCCCGTCGGTATCTTGATGTGCCTTTCTTGAGTTTTTTTTATCTCGTTCTTCTACCGTGTTTAGCAGACGGGCCTCTCTATCTTCCTTGCGTGTCTTTTCTATAATGCACGTCTTCATGCACGATGCATGCGCCCGGCAGTTAGGCCGAGCCGCCGTGTTGGTTGCAGTTCTTTCCCTCGCCTTGAAGTCGTCCCTGTCAGTTGTCTCTGCATGTCTTGTCAAATGTCAGTGTGTTAGACTTCGGCGTTCCCTTCCTTTTTTTGGTGCTTGAGAATTGATCCTCGAACCAAACCAAATCTTTTTTGATTCTTGCGCAGGCCAGGCCCTCTGTGGCATCGGCATCATGTCACATCCGTCAACACCCTCAATAAACAGTGTTGCTGTGTCAGACTCTGTGGCATGTCTTGTCTTTCAACCCTCGACATTTTGAATGCTACCGACGACGACGAAGAAGAATTCATGTGTGCGCTGCGTTCGAGGTCAGTGTTGTCAAAATCTCAGTTCCTAATGGGCTTAAAAATCGAAGGAATCACGAAAAAGGCTAACGTCACGCTGGTTGACGAGTGTGGCCTCGGTATAGAGCCCGCTCATCATGAGTGCCATTTTGAGTGCGCTCCTGCGCAGCACAACGAGTCGAGTGCAGAGATTTGTGAGGCCGGGGGAAACTGAACGAAAAGGGAGAGAAGGACGAGGGGATCACATACCAAATGGTATCAGACATAACTTGGGTGGGGCTGTTCAAGGCCGGACTGTTGACGGTGCTGGGGCCCGCGCCAGCGTCCTGCTCATCATGGCTCGCTTGCAGCGCCAGTGCGGCCAAAAAGTGTTCCACAGCATCGCGATGCAGGCGCAAATTCAGACAGGCCACACCGGCATTATAGCGGGCCCGTACATATCCTGTAGATCAGGATTGGCTGACGCAGTGAGCGTTCACACAAAAGTACACACCATGCTTCTTCAGACCCATTGCCCGCATGGCCCAGCAAGCGACAGCAGTGAAGGACACACCGGGGCGAATGGTCAGCGCGTGTCGATAAATTTGGAGTGCCTCCTCGCTCCGCTCGCTATTGGCTAGCGTGGCACCGAGCTTGTTCCAAAGTAAAAAATCATCAGGCCTGGACACCGTGCCACGGTGAGAGCGGCACAGTCACACCATTCCATCCGAGCGCAAAAGAGAGTGGTGCTGTGCGGGTGCATTATGCGGGGAGACGCTCTTGATAGCCGACCTTTGAGCAAGCGCGGCCTGAAAGTTGTCGGCTGCCGCTTCGTAGTCACGTCTATTTTATGCAGCGAGCCACATGAGGTACATGCAAAGACGCTGCAAAGAGCGCTGGACAGATGCGCACGTACAAGATGTGGTGCATGATACCCAAGCCCACCAAAAGATCCGCCTGATGTTCTGCAGCGGCCCCTGCCTAATCGAGCAAAGCCAGTTTGCAAATTATGAAAGAAGAAAATAAGAAAATGAAAAAAAAAAATCACAAGCAAGCAAACAAACACCGTCGACGGTGAAACGCAGAGTGTGACGAGGACCCTCAGCATGTACGGTGGATGCGATGGGTCAAGGGATGCAAGGTAACTTACCAACGCTTGCTGATACCGATCCACCAAGGCATGGAGTCGTGCGTGAAAGGTCATGGCTCTGGGTGTGTGGGGCAGAGGTGAGCCATTGTCTGGTTGTGGCCCCCAGCTATTTGAATGGCAGCATTCACACTTACTCGGCCATGTCGGCTTCACTGCCGTTGAGACGGACTTCGTCTTGAAGGGGCTGATCAGCCAAGGCGGCCGCGCTAGTCCCGCTTCCGCGCAAAACCTGGGTCAAGGCTTCGATGACTTCACGAAACTGCGTCTCGTTGGTCAAGCTGGTGGCCAAGGCTAGCCAGGCGCTTCGGCGCCTCGGGTCGAGCCGCACAGCTTCGGAGAGAGCAGCAATGGCCAGCTCCTCTTGTTCGTTCTCGGCACGGCTAGCACCCAGCAGCTCCCAGGCCTCGGCGTGGTCGGCAGCGGTCTGGGTGGCGGCTTCAAATAGCAGAATAGCATCAATTAGAGCCCCTGTGATGGCGGGCAGGGCGTGCAAAGCACAGCAGGTGGAGACGTTAAATGCCAATATGCCAATAAGATGAGATGCCAAGCGGCAGCGCAGGGTCGGCCTCAGTAGCAAGAGCATAGCAAGCGGTAGGCGCCTGGCCCACAAACACAGCAGACGTACCACGTTGCAAGGCGTCGCGACCCTGGGCCACGAGCTCATCGGCTGATGGTCGTGTTTGGGCAGCGTCGGAAGCCTGGATAAAGGGGTTGGAGGCGCTGTGCAGGTAGGGCCGATGGCTGCGCAAGAAGGACGTGGATGCCGTTGCTGTGCTGGTGGTGTCGTAGGCTGTGGGATTATCGTGGAGCTCAGTAGCAAATTGGCGCGCCCATTCCTGGGCCATCGCATCAATGGCGTCTGCTTCCGCAGCCGTGGCAATCTCTGAATGCTGTACGGGCTCGGTGGGCGCAGTGGTGCGCGGTGCTGATAGACCACTCCGCTCCGGCCCAACAACCTATCAGTGCGAGACGCATCAAATCATCCTCAATAGAAATGAAAAAAAGCAAAAAAGAAAAAAAAAAAAAAAAAACACTCTTGTGCATATTCGTAACAAGTGTGTTCAAGGACGTGCCTGGTTGTCAACAATCCGGGCCGAACCATTCCCAAGAGCTTCGATAAATTGCATAAAGTTGGTACCCTCGAGCTAGCTCGGCAGCAGCGGCACGGTGCAGCAAAGATGAGCGTGTAAAAAAAATGTTGGATAGCAAAGCATCGAGTAGAGTGATAGTGCGGCACGCAGAGGTGTGCGCCAGCAGCAAAACACCCACCGTGGGATTGATATCCTGAGCCAAATCTTGAGCACGTTGCCGCACCTAAGAATAGAGCCAAGCTCCAATGAGAAGAAAAGGTCGGAATCCTTACTTCGAGTCCCAAACCAGGCAAGCAAAGAGCTCAGGTTGCTGCCCACAGGTTTTGGCACAGGATTTGAGGGCAGCCGTGCAAGCAGGGTTAGAGCCAGGATGAACGAATGTCTTCACATAGCATCACATGCCTCATTGTGCGTTGACGCAGGTTCTGGCCGACCCAACAGGGCATCGGCCCAATCGGTTGTGGACGTTTGTGAAGTGGGTGCTGGGCGAGCTGGCGGAAAATGACGCTGTGGGGCGCGATCAAGAAGGATGAGCAACTGCGTCAGCGAGTGCGGCCTCATCAAGCCAAGCGCGCATCATTCGGTGTCCACGAGCTCCCATGCAAAGGCGAGATATGGCTGGCCAAACGCACGCGAGGGGGGCCGCGCTGAGTACGGGGCGTAGAAGACAAGAAGCTTGAGGACTGCAAACGATCGCTAGAGTTGATGCCACGCCGATTGGGCCTAGCAGCGCTGGTCGCTGAAGAGGTGGTCGGAGAGGCTGCAGCAGCGGCTTGGTGGAATGCGTGCTCCTGAGCCTAAAGTGCCACCAATGGAGGTTGAGCAAAAACTGTGTATCATATTATCCCAAGCGTGCAAAGTGAAGAATGGGTCCTTTGGCCTACCTCGAGGTGCAAGGACTCCAACAGCGCCCGTTGGACAGCCTACGGGCAACCGAGGCCCACGCAGGTGCTGTGAGGACTCACGGCTCAAACAGGACGACCAATGCCCTTCAAGCGCACAGATTCCACCAAGCAAAAAAGCCAGCATCAAAGGGCCCACACATTCATCCCCTTTCCCGGTCAGAATCCACACAGGTACCTCGTCTTGCGCGGCGTTCCATCGGCGATCGTGGGCCCCTAGTGCGAGGCGCGCAGCCTCTGCCAGCGGGGTCGTCTTCGCCGCCATGATCAGGAAAATAACATAAACACTTCACTGGTTTCGCGATCTATGGCCCGAATAAGTTATGCTCACTACGTTCGTACAAATGAAACTTGTCACTGCGTTCGCTTTGCATGGCGTGATCTGATGGAAATTCGTATTACTTTAGCCGAAAAAAGTCGAGAGCAAGCATACAAAACGGCATTGACGTCCAAGGGAAAGGCAACGCAGCGGCTTTGAGCAACAAAAGGCGCTTCTTGCATGGGGCTGCCAACGTGCCCCCTCCTGCAAGCGCAAGCAGTGCAACTCACTTGTTTGCGGTGCAAATGCCAAGCCACACAACATGCGATGAAACCTCTCTCTCTCTCTTTTCCCTCTCTCTCTCTCCATCTTCTCTAAGAACAGTGTGACTGTGAGTGTGGTGTGCACCTTGTGCAGTGGTTGCCAGTGAGTTGTCATTTTTTTTGCCACTGACTGTAAGTGACCGCAAAAGAAGAACGCCGGGCTCCCCTGCTCCCCTGCTCCCCCCCCCTCTCTCTCTACTTGTGTAATGGCAGTGGCCTGTGCCACGGGTAGTTGTTGGTATTGTGGTTGTGATGTGGTTCTGTCGCATAAATGCGCAGTGTGCTTGTTTGATGGCTTTTGGCGGCCGTTTCTCGCTCTTGGAGGCCTTTCGCAATCGAAACCGGTGCAGTAGTGCAGCAGCGCTCACTCCTTCCAAGTGTTTTCCTGTCGGATAGCGTATGGCCTGTCTCTCTTGCGGTACTCGTGACACCCCTTTGACAACAACTAGTAACATGGCTATCAAGGTTGGCATCAACGGGTATGTTCTCACACGGCTCTGGAGTCCTTGCTCTCGTGATCCTCCTGCTGCTGCTGCTGCTGCTGCTGCTCCATCTCATCGACCCTCACGTCGTTGTGTGTGCCTGTTCTCAGCTTTGGCCGCATCGGCCGCATCGTCATGCGTGCCGCCGTGAGCAACCCCAACGTTCAGGTCGTCTCCATCAACGACCCCTTCATGGATGTCGACTACATGGTACGATCAGCGACCCTCGCCTTGATCTCATCGTGCTCCCGGCAGCGCAGAGCGACGCTCAACTCACCCGGCAAAATGCCGCGCACTCGCTCATCTCGTAGGTGTACATGTTCAAGTACGACTCGACTCACGGCAAGTACGCTGGCAGTGTCGAGGCCAAGGATGGCAAGCTTGTCATTGACGGCACCGTCATCAACGTGCACGCCTGCATGAAGCCCGAGGAGATTCCTTGGGGCACCGATGGCGTTGACGTCGTTGTCGAGTCCACTGGTGTCTTCACCGACAAGGCCGGTGCCTCGGCCCATCTTAAGGGCGGTGCCAAGAAGGTTGTCATCTCGGCCCCCTCGAAGGATGCCCCCATGTTTGTGATGGGTGTCAACGAGGACAAGTACGACGCGGCCTCGATGGACATTGTCTCCAATGCCTCGTGCACCACCAACTGCCTCGCCCCCATTGTCAAGGTGCTCGAGGACGAGTTTGGCATCGTTGAGGGCCTCATGACCACCGTCCACGCCTTCACCGCCACCCAGAAGCCCGTCGATGCCCCCGCCCGCAAGGACTGGCGCTCGGGCCGTGGCTGCGCCCAGAACATCATCCCCGCCTCCACCGGTGCTGCCAAGGCTGTCGGCAAGGTCATCCCTGCCGTTGACGGCAAGCTCACTGGCATGGCCTTCCGTGTCCCCACTCCCGATGTCTCCGTCGTCGACCTCACCTGCCGCCTCGACAAGGCCGCCAGCTACGACGACATCAAGGCTGCCATGAAGAAGGCTGCCGAGGGCCCCATGAAGGGCGTTCTTGCCTACACCGAGGAGGATGTTGTCAGCATGGACTTCCGTGGCGACCCCCACTCCTCCATCTTCGATGCCAAGGCCGGTATTGCCCTCAACGACAACTTTGTCAAGCTCATTAGCTGGTACGACAACGAGTTTGGCTACTCCAACCGCGTGGTCGACCTCATTGCCTACATTGGCAAGTCTCTGTAAAGAAGTCCTCTTTAGGCCTTGCTCGTCTTGTGTTCTTGTGATACCCCCCCTGCTTTGCTAGCGTGTTTATTCCCTTCCTGACTCGGCCTCTTCGTGCCGTGCTTCTGAGGCCGTCTCCTGGCGGCCGAAGCGAGCATGCCGGCCTTGGTCACCTCGTGATTGTTGAGGCTTTCGTTGTTTTCAAATTGGAGTTTGGAAGAAGTACCGAGCCTGTCTGTCTGGTTGACCTCAGAATAGTATTATTATATGATAGAAAAACAAACACAAGAGAAATGAAACCACGTCTTCAGACGCATCAGAATGTGCTTCCTCGCAGCTGTGTGCTCGATTCAGGCCCACCCCATCCCGTTTGCTACCGAGGCACAAATTGCAAGCTGTACGAGAGGACGCAATGACGAAATCGTGCGTCCTCGTGCTCATCGCCGTGGTCCTTGCCGTCCTCAAAGCGGTGCCTAGGGGTGGAGAGACGAGGACGCCACCAAGCCAAGGTCAGAGGCCGGAGAAGCGGTTGCCAAACGTCAAGCCTCAGCTTTGGGCGAGTCGGCTCCACAAACCCGAGAAAAAGCTGGCATTGGCCACAGTACACCTCCCACACGGGGCACGTGTAGTTGTTGTAGGCTTCCACCGGGCGCAAATGGAGCGTCCCGTCATTCTCCACGCCGGCACGGAAGGATGGCCACATGCAGGGGCCTAGCGCACCCGCCCCCCGTGGCACAGATACGGAATGAATGAATAAACAGCTGCCTCAAGTCGCCCATTGGTTTTGCAATGTTCTTTTTTTGGATCTTGCTGATATGAGGACTCACCGGCAAACTTGGCGGTGGCGTCGTACAGCGGCTGCTGGCAGCGACTGCACCGGTAAGCCCCATCCTCCATAAAGGCGTTCCCGTATGCTTCCTTGGTCACCACGAGCGAGATTTGCTCTAGGCGATCCTCAACTTCCTTGGTGATGGGGCATGTCGACGTCTCAAAGAAAGCTGTGCGATCTGTCATCGTGCACTGGTCCAGGATTGCCGCCCGCTCCTCACCCGAAGCCAGCTAAGCAGCACCCAGATGAATGCACCGTGTGAGAGAGTTGCGAGGGCACTCTTGGTCCATAAAAGGGGCCACGCTTTGCTGCGCCTCACCTTGGGCATGCGGCACGCCCATACCGCCGTGTCTTGCGCCGCAGCCATGGCGAGGCAACCTGCCACACCCAGACAAGTCACAAGAAATTATTGGAGTTTGGCGCGCCAGCGCCCAAATTAATAGAGCACGAACACAGTGACCATTTCACTTGCAATCCCAGAGTGCGAAAGTAGTGACATGAGCAGCTAGGTTGGTCAACGATGCGTTCCAACACACACACACACACACACACACACACACACACACACACACACACACACACACACACACACACACACACACACACACACACACACACACACACACACACACACACACACACACACACACACACACACACACACAGATAGACATCAAGATCAGCGCATTTGGGCGCGCGCTGGCTTGCACTCGAATCGGTCCACGTCTGGTATGTTGAATCGCTCATCCATGAATGTTGGGCCGACTGGGTAGGGTAGGAATGGGGGACCAAGGCATGATGAATGTGTTTTGCCTGCAAGGGTGCTGGGATCGGACGTCCCGATCGATGACTGGACTGTTGCTTCCAGTTTTACTCATCATTGCCATCACCGACCAATCACCAATCCCAGTGCGAAAGCTCAGGCCCGACTTGCAGCAGCACCAGCCATCGCGATGCAAGCTGCTGCTAATCTGCAGCCGAGTCCGGCCCCGGGTACCTTGACGGGGCTTTTGCAGTGGCCTTCGCTGCGTAAACACCACCGGATAGCCCTCATGTTTGTTCACCGTTTGTCTCCCTTCTTGACGCCTTGTGCTGGCAGTCGCGCCGCTCATCGCGCCCGTTGGTGTCTGGTGGTTCACAGGCAGTCGCGCCGATCATGTTTGCCGCAGCAACACTTGGCCCTTCTAACCGTCACCCCTCAGGCCCTGGACAAACAGTTTCGACAGCAGCAACTGGCCTATGCCCGCCTTGTGAACGAGCCGTCGTCAGAGGCGACCGAGTTGCGCGCTCGCGTCAGCAAGGATCGGCAGCAGCTCGTCCACGCTTTTCTTCAGCGCGATCCTTCGATCGCAGCGACTAGCGCCCCTCTGTCCGTTCACCTGGACGCTCTGGCCAAGCTACGCACGGCCCATCTGCTTCAGCGCGAACTGGCAGAGCAGTTGGCTGAGCACGGCCTGCGCGCCGCGACCAGCTCCCAAATAGATCCTCAGTCCGCCCGCGCCCTTTGTGATGCTGTCCTGCATCTGATTACCCATCACAGCCGAGACAGTTCTCCTCTGGCCTCGACCCCTGGGCACAGCCATCAAGTCTTGGATGAGGATGCCGCTGAACCCTCCTCGGACGAGGACGGGGCCGAAGATGATGTCGGCTCGGACCAACCAAGCAGCGCCGCGCCCCTCTCCACGAGCCGCCGTGGCTCGCGTGAAGACGTCTTGGCGCCGCAGCGGCCCTCATATGATTTTCTTCCTAAGCAGGGCTCCAATTTTCGTCTCAGCGCCCTCGTGAGCCAGCGCGGCAGCTGCACCAGTCTCAGCTCCGTGGACTCAGAATGCGATCTGGGCGAGATCTCCCAAGTCCCTCTACTTGGCCTGTATGTTCTTACTGCCAACGTACACCTGGCCCAGGCGGCCATCGAAACATTGCAGCTCCACAGCGTACGTGACCCAGCTGCATGATCATAATAATTATCCATTTCAAGAAACCTTTTGTTGCTTGTCTGGTTGAGGGGCAATGTTTTGCTTATCAACGGATGCTCCCTTCTGCTGCTGCCTCCATGTATCAGGATCGTCTCTCCAATGATGATTGGACGCGTCTGCTGCTGTTGGCTGTGGCCGATGCCGCCCTCTTGCACCCAGAGCTACGCGACTCGGCCATTTCAGCCCTTGTCCAGGTTCTTGCCAACCAAGAATTCTCATACACCGTCGCCTCACTTGTGTGCCATGCGTTCCTCGAGGCCGGTGCTGGGCCGGCATTGGCGCCGCTCGAAGAGATCTTTGCCGATTTGGATTTTGACATGCTCAGCCCGGCTTACATGCACTCCTTTGAGGACGTATGTATCTCGGAGCGTGCTTCATGCCATCAGCTGTATTCTTCAAAGGGCTTGCCTTCTCTTACTCACGTCACGTCTTGTTTCGTAAGTAGTTGGTCCAGCTGGCCGGCGGCGAGGTTTAACCCTGCGCATCCACGACTCAACATCACGACCAGGACAAACGCTGGTGCCATCCCCTTGGTCTCATATCATTTCTTCATCTTACAGCGGGAGGATTAATGTGCACATTCCCCTCTTGCGCATTTTATTCGGGGGCGCTGCCTTGTGTTATCAAGCTTGCCTTCAAATTTTCGATTGTACCTTGAACCCGAGTCTTTTGTTGCCCGAATTCGAACAAAACCGGGAGAAAGAGAGAAAGAGAGATCAGGCGGGGGCCGGGGGCGGTGCAACGACACCAGCACCAACACCAACAACAGGTCGCCGGACACATGTGGCACATGTTGAGGTGCAGCTGGAACATCAACTCAAACAGGATGGTGCATGACTGAAAGCAGATGATCCGGGAAAAAAAAAAAAAAAAGTCAACAAAGAGGACAATCTATGGGCCAACCAGCCCTTTTGGAATGGGTGCGTGGGTACTGGAACTGGAATGGGAATTGAAGCCGTGTGTGCGCGACTCGTGCACAAAGCTGACCACGCTCCCAAGAGGCAAGTAAAATCAAGTTGTGCTCTAGCAGCCCGAGGGAAGAGGAACGAGGGCATGGACGGGGATGCCCACTTTGGTCGCTCCTTCGAGTGCAGGCAGACCGACGATGCAGGTTGCCAGCAAGGGCTCGGCGCCAACCTTGCGGACGAGCTCGGTGGCGGCGCGCAAGGTGCCACCCGTAGCAATGAGATCGTCCACAAAGACCACCTTATCTCCGGGCTTGAGCGCGTCCATCTACACAAGGCAATCCCATGATCAAGGTGCCACAGTGAGTCGGCGCGAGAGTGCAGTCATTGAGTTTGAGATGCGGTCGACAGGCATCAGAAAAGAAAAACAAACAAACAAGAGAGGCAGAGCGAGCGGGGGAGGGAAGAAGAGCAGTTGGGGTCTGCAAGTCGAACCTGAATCTCAAACACGTCAGTGCCGTACTCCTTCTCATAGGTCACCGACTCACACTTGCCAGGCAGCTACAGAGGGCAGCATGGCAGGCCATGAGGGTGTGGGATGTGAATGTGAATGCATGCACAAGAGCGCTGCCGCAAGAGGGAGGCAAAGGGGTCCACTGCTTACCTTTCCTTGCTTGCGAATAGGCACAAAAGAACAATGGAGGTGGGTGCTCAGGAGGGGGCCCAGGAGAAAGCCACGGGCATCCAGGCCAACGATGGCGTCGATCTTGGGGCTGGTGCGCGTGATCAGGCCGAGCATGCGGTTCAAGACAATGTCCATGGCCACGGGATCCCGGAAGATGGGAAAGGCTAACACGAAGCAAGCGCGCACGTGTCGCAGCTGTTGTAAGCTTGGGTCGTGCCCCCAACACGCGCAGCAAGGTCGGGGCACATACCATCTTGGAAAAGAACGCCGGGAATGGGGAAGTTCTCGTGGGAGGTGATCAGGCTCTTCACGTAGTCGAGGCCAGCATCGGCAGCGGGGGCAGTCGTCTCAGCCATTGCGTTTGGTCTATTGGATCGTGGAAGGCTACCATTCGAGGGATCGAGCAAGGGGGGGTGGTCAGGTCGCCATTCGAACATCGACAACAACCGACCCCTCTTGCGGTTGTCCCAGCCACAAACCGTCTCCAACCCTCCAGACCTGACCGTTGACATACACCCCCATCCACCATCGTCCAGCCACGATCCAAGAAGGCCCCCGACATGCCTGCTGCGCACGCACCTCTCGCTCTCTCTCTCTCACTCACTAAAAAACAACGAAAACTAGCACATTGGAGAAAAGAGAGAGAGGGATCACGCGCACTTTGTGTACCTCCACACACATGTGTGTGTGATGGATGTGTGTGTGGCTACTTTGTCAGACGGGTTTTTGAATCACACACTCAACGTTTGCTTCTGGGTTGATTGAGACAAAAAGGTCCGCTAGACGACACAAACACCGTTTTGTCACGGCACAAGAACGGCGGCCACATTACGCGGGAGAAAGGATTGGACAGACTGCACAGCACAGACGAAAATGGATAAGCCACACAACAGACGGAGCACCGGCGTACCCCAACAAATTCGACAAAAAGGAAGCAGCAGAAAAAAAAAAAAAAAAAAAAAAAAAAAGGAAAACAAAGAAACATGAAGAAGTAGAAGATGTAAGAGGAGAACCACGCGAGGTCGCAGAGGCACTTGCGGATCCTGGGTTGTCCTCAGACATATTGCGATAGCAACATAAAAGTGCCCACATCGCTTACTGCTTGCCAGCTGCGGGGGCTTGCTCAACCAGCACCTTGTAGGCCTGGTCCAGAGCAGCCTTGAGGGCCGCGGGGTTCTGACAGGCAAAAAAAAAAAAACAAGAAAGAAGCAGGAGAAAAAAAAAAAAAAAAATAAGAAAAAAAAGCCATAAAGCAGATCTCAGTGAGTGCTTGGTGCAAAAACTGGAAAAGTGCAAGCGCGGTTTGGTTTGGGATGAAGATCAACTAGCCACGTACCTCCAGATACTCAAGGACGGCTTCATCAGGTTGATCGAGGAGCATGCCCGTGATCTTGGGAGCATGCTTGGGCTGCTGGGCCTGCACCAAGGAGAAGAGGGGGTTGCCCAGGACCGCATTGCGGCTATTCTTATCCTTAGCAGCGCTCAATTCTGAGCGAACTTGCTGGACGTTGATGCCCATGGCGGTACCGGCGGGGGCAGCAGCAGCAGCGGAGGGCTGCTGAGCATTGTTCGGGGTGGCCATCATGGGTGTCTGCATCGGGGGCATGCCGTGCTGGGGGCCGCTGCGGCCGGCCATCTGGGCCTGCATAGACATTTGCTGCATCGGGTTGAAGCCCATGGGTGGCATACCACCTTGGCGATGAGGCACGCCAGCCATGCCTCCCATGCGGGGGTTGGCCATCACGGGGCCCATGCGCATCATCGGAGGCATGGCACGCATACCACCCTGCTGCGTCATCCACTGCTGGTACTGCATGTTCTGGGCCGTCATCATGCGCTGGCGCTGGACCTCCTGTGCGCGCTCCTCCTTGTTGCGGAAACGCGACACGTACAGAGGCTTGCCATCGGCCGTCATCCGGCCGTTCATCTCCTGGATGGCCCGAGTGGCCTCCTCTTCACTGCTAAACAGCACGAAACCTGGCAAAAGCACGCAAAAGCAAAGCAAAGCACACCATCGAGGCCATGGAATGAGGCTTGCGGTTAAAAAAAAAAGGCAGATGATGAAAGCTCGAGGAGGAGGCGAGGCAGCCATGTTTTTTATTCTCTCCCAACGCTTCCCTTCTTCCCAGCTGCGTCCTGGCTGACGCTTGTTCGTTGCCAGGTTGCGTACCGAATTGGCGTGATTGACCGTCGCGATCCTTGACCACGCGAACGCTGACGATGGTGCCGTAGGCCTCAAACATCTTGCGCAGCTCATCCTCGGTGACGTCCTCGCTAAAGTTCTTAATGTACAGGTTGGCGTCTTTGTATTTGGCCCGCATCTCCGTGCGGCGGCGCTCAAACTCGCGGCGCAGACGACCCATGCGCTCGCTCTTGCGCTGTGCGCGGGCGACATAGAGCTTGGTGCCGTCGGCTCCCAGGGGCTTGTCATTCAGCTCACTCACAGCCTTTTGAGCATCGGCCGTGTCTTTGTAGGCCACAAAACCGTAGCGGCCAAATTGATCGTGGGACTTGAGCACCTTGGACTCAATCTAGCTCACCAGAAAGCCAGGCCATGTCGTTGAAGAGAGCATGAGCAAGCTGTGCCAGGCTCGAGGTCCAGGGCCGGAACAACAAACAGAAACGGTGTGAAACCGACAAAACAAAGCGGAAGCAGAGGCTCACCTCCCCAAAGTTCTCAAACTCCTTCATGATGTCTTCATCAGAGATGTCAGCTGCCACGTTCTTGAAAAAGACGTTGGTAAAGTTCTTCTGGGTCTCCTCAGCCTCAAGCATGCGCTGACGGCGTGGCTTGTAGGCCTCTACCTTGACCACCTTGTCCAAGATCTTCTTGTCATTGACCTGGGCAATGACTTGCTTGGCCACCTCGGCATCTTCATACTGCACAAACGCGATGCCACGGCTGTTGCCCTCTTGATCGTAGAGCACACGGCAGGAGAGCACGGTACCAAAAACACGGAAGGTATCGTAGAGGGCCTTGTTGTCGACCTCGGCTGAGAGGTTCTTGATGAAGATGTTGCCAACGCCCGAGCGACGCTTGGTGGGATCGCGCTCCGAGAACATGATGCGCACGGGCTGGCCCTTGAGCTCTTCAAAGTTGGCCGCTTCGTAGACCTTGGCAGCTACGTGGCAGTATCGGTAGAGGAGCGAGACGGCCAGCAAACGTAGATGAGCAGATGACGGTCAGAGTTGACCGACCCAAACAAGGGAGGTGGGACGTGAAGAAGCGGCTGATGCGATCGAAATGAATAGCGGGCTCAAGCGCCCGCTCATCATCACTGCTCAAGCTGCCGCGCGCAAAAAAAAAAGAAAGAAAAAGAAAAAACTAGGGTGCACAAAATGCCCCAAAGGGGTGTTGCACAGCAGCCCGGTCCACAACCAAGAAATGCATTTGACTGCACACGGCTGTGGAGGGGGGAGAAGCACCCACAGGGCTGCAGGAACGATGCGACTCACCATCTTCGGGGGTGGCAAAGTTGACGTAGCCGTAACCGAGGGAGGTCTGGGTGACCATGTCACGGCACACGCGGACCGACTGAACGGTTGCGCCAAAGCTGTTGAAAAAGTTGTACAGCTCGGCCTCAATCACGTCCTTGCTGAGGTCGCCCACGTACAGGGAAGCACTGTGCGGGAAGCGGCTCTCGTTGCTCTGCTCCTCAACCGCGGGGGTTCCCGCAGCCTGCGCTGAATCAGCCGACGCCGCCATGCTGCCGATCTCACAAGTCCGAGTTGCCTTGGGTCAGAGGAAGGGAAAGAGAAAAAAAAAAAAGAGTTGCTCCCAAAACTTGAAACTCGTGCTTTGGCCGTCTGACATGTGGTAGCTTCAAGCTGCCTTGCTCACGCTTGAGAGAGAGAGAGTGTGTGTGTGAAAGAGAGAGACACTGTGTGTGTGTGTGTGTGTGTGTGTGTGTGTGTGTGTGTGTGTGTGTGTGTGACGTTGTACAACCGTTTGTTCGTTTTGTCAACGTGTCCATGAGCTCTCGAGGCACTAAAGTAAAATACTTTCTAGCAAAAACGAATTTCAAATTCGAAATCATGTTGGCTGTGGTGGTGACCGGGGTGGTGGGCGTGCTGGCAGCTTTGCTGCTCGTGGTACGCACCATTGCCATTGTACGCTGGTGAGTATGCGAGTGGGGATGGAGAGAAACGGCTTGTCGCATGCCGGTGGCTGCTGGGATAGCTGAGCAACCAGCTTTTTTTTTTTTCTTCTTTTGGGGATGATCTCAACGGGCGCTTCTCTCTGTGCGCAGCTTTCGGGTGCATCCCCCGCATGCTCTGGTCCGCTCGGGCTCAGAGTCTGCCTCAGCAGAGCGACCCCAGCAGCAACGGCAAAAAAATGAGTTTGGGAAGCCACAGTCCAACTCCACACTGGTCACGGGGCAAGTGGCTGGCTCAGGCGTCTCCATTCTGAAGCCGCTCAAGGGCGCTGACCTGCACTTGCGCTCCAACCTTGAGACCTTTGTGCGTCAAGCCGTTCAACAAGTACGCTTGAGCAGCTGGGCCCGTGGCAATCCTTCAAATCGATCCTGTGGCGTGGCATCCTTTCAGTTTGCCCCAAAGCTCACGGCCTCTTGATGCGACAGGCCAATGTGGAGGTCCTGTTTTGCCTCGAGACAGCCGATGACCCTGCGGCCCAGGTTGTGGAGGACCTGCTCAATGAATACCCCACGGCGCGCGCCCGCTGCTTCACTCTGCCCCGTCGGCGCGGCGTCAACCCCAAGATCAATAATCTTTGTGCGCTACTCTGTCATGCCGCGCTCTGCTTCCGTGTCTTGGCTCAGCCCTAACGTTTGCTTCGGTGGGCACAGATGAAGCCTTTGAGAGTGCCACTTATGACACCATTTGGATTAGCGATGCCAACCTCCGCACTTCTGACGCCCACTTTACGTACGCTGCGTCTTGCAAGCTCCCCACAAACACTCCTTCCTGCTATTTCGCTTCTTGTTGGCTCTTTTTTTGGAGGGGAGAGGTGCATGTCTGACCGGCTTGTGCGACCGCGGCGAGACCATTCATAGACTGACTTTGACCGAGTTTGCCAGCGTGGGCCAGCATGGCGTGCTCCACCAACCACCTCTCACCGTGTATCGCAATGGGTTTGCCGCTGCCATTGAGGAGGTACGATTTATTTCTACCCATTTCTGCGCCTGTCCATTGCCTCACGTTCACTTGGACCGATGCTAAATAGGCCTACTTTAGCACACAGCACTGTTACCTGTACGCCTTTGCCGATGCCATGCGCATCAACGGCTTCAACGGCATGTCCATCCTCTTAAGCCGGCAGCTCTTCAAGACACGCTGTGGGTTTTTGCTTTTTGCTTTTTTTTTTTTTTTTTTCGCTTTTTTCGCGAGTAAAGCGTCAGATCATCCGGCTGTCTTTGCCCCCCGTCCCTCGACTCCCTCACCTTGGCCTTTGGAGTTCGCCTCGACTGCAGGTGGCGATCTGACAGCGTTCTCCGACTTTCTTGCTGAAGACTTTTTCATGAGCCAGGTACGTGCTGCCTACTTTTGGGCAATCGTTGCAATAGCATTGTCTTCCTGATTTCTGCTGAAAACAAATAGGCCCTCTATGCTGCTGGTTGCCGACATCGAATGAGCAATGCACCCGCCATGCAAAATGCAGCTCCTCGTCAGCCCTACCAGCTCTTCCTTCGCCTCGTTCGGTCAGCCAACCCCGCCACGATATGACTGCGCTCTTCAGCCCGTCGGCGTCTTGCGCACACCTGACATGCTCCCGGGTCCCGATGTTGCCTATCGTGACGGCCTGTTATCTAGGTGGCAGCGGCTGCGTCAAGGTTCCATGTGGGCTGCGTCCTACTTGGAGCTTCTGGCCGAAGCGTGGACGAGCTGCGTGCTCCTGACCCTCGTCGTCTCGCCATGGGCAGGCCTACTCTTCTGGCTGGTTGCCCAGGCCCAGGACATGCTACTTCAACATCATCTAACAAATCTCTTTGAGCGTCCCCCAACCGCCATCGCGCAGCAAATCGTGGCCAACTGGACGCGAGAGGTACATTACCTGGCCACTGCAAACAAGGCTTATCTGAGTGAAATGACTTTGTTTACCCTGCCCGCCGTAGCTGCTCGCTGCAACTCAGTGTACGGTTGTGCTCTCTAGTTTTTGTGCTTCTTGGCCTATATTTGCGGACATTTGTCCACAGAGATTGAATGGGGTGGCCAGTACGTCGTGCAGTTGAGATGTGCGGGGTCCACCGGAAGCAAGACTTGCCACGCAAAGAGGGTTGGGCGCGCTGACCCTTGTCTGTGACATTCATGCACCACCCACTAGACGATTTCAGGTGCAGCCTGGAGGCAGAACGCGAGTTATGTGAAGGAACAAAGAATCATCTTGGCGAGAGAAATTTGTATTGATTGGATCTTTTTCGAACACAACCCTTGAAAATTTAACAACAAGACGCACACCAGGTTCTGGTTACTCGGGCATCAAACCGCGGCTGGCACGCGAACAAGCCAAGCAAAACGACGAAAGGAGCGCAAGAAAAGACAAGCTCCCCAACTGCATATGCACACACGCGCGCGCACACGCACGTACACACGCGCGCGCACACGCACGTACACACACACACACACACACACACACACACACACACACACACACACACACACACACACACACACACACACACACACACACACACACACACACACACACACACACACACACACACACACACACACACACACACGCACGCACGCACACACGCACACAGAGAAATACACACATACGCACACAGAGAAATACACGCAGGAGCTAAATCAACGGCTCGAGTTGAGGAGCGCTTCTTTAACAAAAAAAGCCAAAGAGCGCCTCATCCACAGCTGATTGGGCTATTTAATGCCTCGCAGAGACAAAGCGGGCCCATGGGCTGCTTGCACTAGCAGTGCGTCCACAGTGTGGCAAAAGCTGTCGCTCATTGTGCCGCGCTTACCACTTTGCTCTCGGCCAGCCTATCAAGCACAGGGAGGTTTGCAAAGCATGAGCTGAGCTCGCTGCAGTGCTGGCACCAGCCACACCCACAAACGCCAGCCGCGCACAAGGCAGAGACTGTAACATACTTGTGGAGAAATTCCTTCCAGTGGTCGGTGTTAACGATACGGACCGCCCCCTGCTTATTGCCCGGGATAGGCTCGAGCGTCACGCGCACGGGATGGATGGTTTCAAATTCCACTTCGTCCGTGTACTTGGTCAGGACATATTCGCCCGAGCCGGTGGCACCTGCCTCATCATACCACTGCACCTGCACCTTGTGGCCCTGGTTGTTGCGATCGGCCAGATCCAGGCTCTGACGCAGCTGGGCCAACCAGAAGCCATTATTGGGTGCGCAAATGGCCACGCTGTCTCCGCTCTCGAGCTGCAGACCCAAGTGGGCTTCGGGCAGAGATTCCATGTCTTCCCGGGGAATCTTCTCAAAAGAGGGCTGGATGCGCATGTTGCAATGGATCACCAGTTCACCGTTGACAAGCAGCTGTGGTAGCAGGGCTTCAAAATCAGCGGCTTTGCAAAAATTGTAGCAGCCCTCCGCTCGGAAAGAGTTGTCACTTCGCGCCGTGATTAAGCAGTCACCCGCTGATCAAGTCACAAAAACAGTCGCGGTGAGCAAAACTGACGATTCAAATGCCCGATGTTTGCATTTTGGCAGACCCAGCGACCGCAACAGCAACGACAACAGCAGCAAGGCTCCATAGAAGACATGGTACAGGCGGGAAGAAGAAAGGCTGTGTGTGTGTGTGTGTGTGTGTGTGTGTGTGTGTGTGTGTGTGTGTGTGTGTGTGTGTGTGTGTGTGTGTGTGTGTGTGTGTGTGTGTGCACGCTTTCACGGGGACAACGAATCGGAAACAGTGGCGAGGAAACGAACCGCGGGTCAGACATTCGTCTGGATTGGAGTTGTTGCCAATGGCGAATTTGAAGGCAACTCGCGCCGAGTCGTCGGGGCTCATGTCTTTGGCATTGCTGCAGATGAGGTAAAGCGAGAACATGCCATAGCTGCCACGGCATAGCGCAGGGCACGCGTGTGAGTTAGTCGACGGCTTCTCGGGCACGAGACCGGCTTGGCCAAGACTTGGCCACCTACTCAAGCAAAGCTGCCACCAGCTGCATTTGCATGCCCGTCCGATGCACACAGACATGCGAGCATAGCGTCTTGTTACTCTTCAAAGCTGTGTGAGGGAGAGGATGGTGACACAAACGTTTGAAGAGAGAGAAAGGTGAGCAGCAGATCAAGCGCGAAGGCCTGGCCCGATTTGGTTATTATCAATGCATCATTCTTCGGAACATTGGCCCGCTCCCGAGCAGAGCTCAGCCCTGTCTGCATTGCCCTGGAAAACTAGATGAAGCGGTCATCGGGGGCGGACGCACCATCGAGAAAGTCTGGAATGCGCCACGAGACGGCAAAGTGGTGCAGGAAGCTTTGGTTGCTCGCGGCATTGGCGTGTGTACTCATCCCGTTCATCCTGCGCAGCAGCCCACGGGCCACGCTCCACACCAAAACTGATAGCCAGGGGCGCACAGATTAGGTTTCCGTCGGACCGACCCGGGCTGGCATTCAACGATCAAGGAAACAATTGCAAGATAGGGTCCGTCGAACCTGTCGATTCACGCACGTCGCTTCTGAACAGCTCTTGCTCTACTACACCCGCTGCACCACCGTCACTTGCATCTATCACAACTACTACAACTGCTTCCAGATCAGGCACCCCTTGGCTGACCCGACACGCGAGTCAGTCCCAGGCTCTGGCTGACACTACACGAACAAGGCGATATGCAGCCTGATTGTCGCAGGCGCGCGAGAGAGAGAGAGAGATTTAGAGACAAAAAATGTGCGATTCCCGCCAAAAGGATCCAAAGCTGCTGACATTTCCGGCCGCGGAATGCGACCGCCTATGCTACCAGCTTGAGATATGGTTGACATCTGGTAGTAACACTGAAACCTGACCATCCGTCCTATGTCAGCCTGAATTCTGTCAGTACCGTGTCCTAAAATTCCGATGATCTGACATCTGACAATCGCATCGTCAATTTAGACGTTACAAAGTGTGTGTGTCTCTGCGCGCACTTTTTCTGTCTACATGTGGTAATTGTTTATTCCTCTCTTCCCGTTTCTCTCTCTTTCTACTTGGCAGCTCTCTCTCTCTCTCTCTCGGGTACTGGGTGGTGTGGGCGTGCACCTGAACCGGGGGGACCAGTAGACATGGATACCACAGGTCAAACTCGTGCAGCTTGCTTGGTGCAGGTGTGTGTACTTTCTGGATCTCGGCGGCCGGGTCTTGCAGCCCTTACGATCCAACTCTCACCTTTGCCTGGTTGACGAGCGACAGGTGCTGGGAGCTGACCTTTACACCAAGGTGCAAGAGTGCAAGGTAAGCTGAAGCTGGCCTTTGCCCAGGTGTTGGACGAGTGAAACTGGCATCTGCAACCGGCATCTGCAACCGGCATCCGCAACCGGCACCTGCGACCCCTCCTGACAGTCTTTGTCTCGACGATTGGCTTTTCGGTTCGCGCTCGTAGCTCCTGGTCGTGGGGGCAGGCGGCATTGGCTGCGAATTGCTCAAAAACCTCGCCCTGGCCGGCTTTCAACACATTGAAGTGGTCAGTAGCACGGGGAGAGGCCAGGGTTTGGCTGTCAATAAGCTGAAGAGACAACGTCAACTGCCTTACTGACCAACTCTACCCTTGTGGTGCTGTCGCAGATTGACTTGGACACCATTGAAGTGACAAACCTGAACCGCCAGTTCCTCTTTCAAAAGCAGCATGTCGGCCAGTCCAAAGCCAAGGTACAAGCCTTTGCACCATCCTGCGCCATGTGGGATGTAGCTGCATGCCAATCAGCCCCATCTTTCTCTCTCCGTGCCGCCAGCATTGATTTTTTTCGTGTGCACGAACACCAGGTGGCCAGTGAGGCAGTTCGACGCTTCAACCCAGCTCTGAAGATTGTAGCCCATCATGCTAACATCTTTGACGCCGACTTCAATTTGGCCTATTTTGAGCGCTTCGACCTGGTCCTCAATGCCCTGGATAACCTGAGTATGTAGCGACCCCAAAACTCTGTGGCACCCGGCTGAAGCCAGCTTCTAGCGCACACATAATGGCATGCCAGGTGCGATGCATTCCGTCATCGCGACGCTCATGGCTCGTCCTTCCTCCCAAAGAGGCCCGCCGGCATGTAAACCGCATGTGCTTGGCAGCCAACCGTCCTCTCATCGAGAGCGGCAGCGCCGGCTACCTGGGCCAAGTCTCCGTTCACCTCAAGGTACCTACCTGCCTGACAACAACAACATTCGAACATGCGTGGCTTGGCTTGTTTTACCGTCTGTGCCGGTTCGTACACCGTGTTTGGCTCAACTCGACTCTTCATGCTCTATTTGCCTTGGCAGGGTGTGAGCGAGTGCTACGAGTGCCAGGAAAAGCCCAAACCAAAATCATACCCGGCCTGTACCATTCGAAACACGCCCTCGGCCATGATTCATTGCATTGTCTGGGCCAAATTTCTCTTTACGTACGGTCCATAAACGGCACGCGGCCAATTCCCTTGAAGTCACGCCTTGAGATTCCCTCGACACAGTGCTTTCTCCTCACCTGGCCGGGTGGGGTGCACGTTGTTAGTCATCTGTTCGGCGTCGTTGACGATGAAAATGATGTGGCTCCCAATCCCGATGACCCTGAACTGGAACAAAGTGCCCAGACGTCGAGCGATTCAGAGCCTTCTGCACCTGCCACTACTGACAACGGTAGGCTCCTGCCCTACCATCCATTGAACACCTTTTGTTTTTGTTTTGGGTTTGTTTTGTTTTCTCAATCACTATTGGACTCATGCGAAACTGTGCACCCCGCTGCGGTAGCCGAGGCCCGCCAGTCAACGCGAGACTGGGCCGAACAACATCACCACGATCCCAACCTCCTTGTTCGCAAAGTCAGTGTTTGATAGTCGAGACCAAGAGGCCTTCACGTTGCCTCACGCACAACTCCCTTCCTCCCATTCTTTCCACACACATGGCCTGAATGTCTGTTCTATGTGCCAGCTCTTTCAAAGGGACATTGGAATGCTGCTGAAAATGGACAATCTCTGGAAGAACCGCACCCCCCCCGTGCCGGTGGACTTTGATCAGCCTCTCGATGACACGCGCGATAACAGCGTACGTCGCCGTTACCTTGCATGCAACCACCCAAGCCAGGCCGAATGAGCGTTCACTGGTTGCGCTCCTCTCACCCTGGTGTCGTGTACCTCACAGAGTGGCAAGCTACCGGATCAGCGCGTGTGGTCCTTGCAACAGTGCGTCGACAAATTTACACAAAGGTGCGCCCTGCTCTGCTTGGCTTTGAACGAAGGCTTTTTAACTGGCAGCACATGACCAGTTGTTGGGCTCATCATCATCATCATCATCATGCATGCCACCTGAACAATCATGCCTGTCAGTGGCGCTGCCCTCCGTGATCGCCTCCATGCAGCTGGCGCAGACGGGCTGGTATGGGATAAGGATGATGATGAGGCCATGGACTTTGTGTGTGCAGCCGCCAACCTCCGAGCTCGTGTTTTTCATCTCGCTCCCGAATCTCGCTTTGACGTGAAATGTACGTTGCTTTGCGCAGGCGCCCTTTGCTGCATCGGTTGGCTCATTCTGACGTCCGCACCTGCTTGGCGCATCATTCGTCAACCTGACCCCTGAACGCCATCTCCTTGCAGCCAAAGCGGGCAACATTATCCCTGCCATTCCCACTACCAATGCCATGGTTGCAGGACTCATCATCGCCGAGGCCTACAAAGTTTTGCAGGGGCGACTCGAAGCCTGTCGCACCGTAAGTTGTCCTATGCGTTGACCATGCCCCATCGTATTTGTTGCTAATCCCATGATCAGCCCTAATGTGCCTGTTTGACTGACGTACAGGTGTATGTGTCGCGTCAAATCGCAAGTCGCAACAAATTGCTCACGCCTCTCAAGTTGGAACCCCCCAATCCCAACGTACGTGTCACTCCCTTGTTTTTCGGCCCTCTCTTCATCCCCCATCTTTCTCATCTCCTTGCTCTCGGTCCTGCCATTTCATTAGTGCCTCGTGTGCCGGGACAAGCCTATGCTGATTCTGCGCACAAACCTGCAGCAATTGACACTGCGCACGTTGGCTGAGGACGTGCTGAAGCAAGAACTCTGTCTTGCTGTTCCCGAGATGACCCTTTCGGATGGTGGGTTTGGCATGAGGGCAAGCCTGGTGTTGCGTCACCGTGCTCACTCTACCACCACGCCCAGGCCGCATGATTCTCGCAGCCCCGGACGAGGATGATGACGAGGATGATCGTCGCATACTGGAAACAAAGCTCTATCCCCGCACACTGGCCTCTTTTAACATTGGTGACGGCTCAGAGTGCGTTGAAAGCTGACGCACCAATGCCTGCCTTCAGTCCACGCACGAGGGCCGGCAAATTGACCGCGTGTGTTTTGCCGGTTTCCTAGGTGCAAGGTCACCGACGATTTGCAGGGCATGATTTTGACCCTGACCTTTCGACAAACGTACGTTTGACTTTGTGGCACAGTATGCTTGCGTGTCCTTCTTCCATCATTTTTGACGCAAATGGTTCTGGACTGGTGCAGTGAGGAATTGGCCGAGGATCAGCCCTTCGTGTTGGAACGACATGGCGCAGTTACCGCGGAACCCCCAGCACCAAGCGAGGCTCAGCCATCAACAAGCGGTTAGCATTCAATCTGCATCGCGAGTCCTTTCGGGGCGCCCCTGCATGACAACGTGCTGCTGGTCTTGATCTAGCCTCGCTCATCATTTGATCTGACGGAATTTCATGCATTTGAAACAGATGCTGTGCTTATTGCCGATGATGATGAAACAACCCCGGGATCAGGAGAAGGCGCGACAAGCAAACGTCTGTGTGCCGCGGACGAAGACGATGCTGTCGACTGCAAGCGCAGCAAGGCCGAGTAGCAAAACTTTCTTTTTGGATCACGAGGCAAGCAGTGCTGTTCTTGTTGGCTGGCTGCCGCCGCTTCGGTCCGACTAGAAAAGAATCAATTTTCCGTTTACACTTAATCTTTTTCCAAGGCTTCAGAGGCCGTTCTGACCAGAGTCGCCCAAGTTGATCATGGGGCTTGCACCCATACAAGATTTGATGTCACCCGCATATACCCATCTGTACTATTCGGTTGAACCCAACGACCTGTATCGTACTGAAAAGCCTGATACTCAATCTAGAACACCAACATTTCAGTTCATGCACTCGGCGAAACCCGTGACAACAAGCAGCCAGCGTTGGGCATAAAAGTATCGTTTCTTACCGTGTTTGAGTCGGCAATGGCGGTTGTCACATCCGCGAGCCAGCTGTCCACTTTCATTCCATTGCACCAACCATCTCGCCCAAACCAGATGGCACCGTGCCCATTGGGCTCAACCCCCTCTGCGGCCTACAAGACACAACTGATCATGAGGAAAAGCCAAGGGAGAGGGTGTTTATGGATTGGCATGGATTGCACGAGGGCACATACTCGGCGAGCGCACGCCATTTGGTCCAAGGGCTCTAGAAAGGCGACGCTGAAGGCATGTCCATTGACCAAAAATGTGTGGTTGGATGGTACAAACTCCATACTTCCATGACCCGTGATGATGGCTGTCAAGTACGCACGCCGCTGGCCTGCAGTTGAAATGGCAGCGTGAGGGCAAGGGTCTGTGTGCACACGAAAGCAGGGCCTCGACCCCAGTCGCACGCACCAGCGGGTAGCTGGGCTGGGGCTGCAATCTGAAGGGCATCTCGCGTGTTGTAGGTGCCATCAAACGTAGAGAGCTCGGATGTGTTGAAGAGGCGGTTCATGGCCACGGGCACACCGTGCAACAGGCCGGGGTCATTGTCCAAGGGATAGCGCAGGGAGAGCTTGAACACCCACGGGGAGCCGTTGTCGGTGGCGGATAGATTGAATTGGCAGCGCGCTCCCGGACGAAGCTGGGCGCCGTAAGTTGTGACATCTGTCAACCAATGGCCCACCCGACGACGGTATGGTGTAACCCAGCGCCCAATTTCAGAGGCCTGCACATCCTGCTCCCCAACACCTACAATATGCGAGCGCACGGGCAGTGAAGACTTGTGCCTGCAACACAAAGGCATGTGGCGCCGGTCGAGCAATACCACCAGGTGAGAAGAGCAACTGCGGCTCTGTGCGATCGCCGTACCACTGGTTGACGGCTTGCCATCGCATGTCACGCTCACGGTATGCACATGATCCCACATGTCACAATCCAAATCAAAGCTGCCTGCGCTTCCATGGCATCAGAATACAATCGTAAGTGGCGTCAGGAAGAAACCAAAACAAAGCATGCCACGGCCAGTGCATGGGGACGGTGCACCAAGATGGACACAATGACGGGTACCTTGACAGGACATGCGAGCCTCGAGCCAAATTAGAGAAGCATTGCTGGCCTGAACCGGGATGACTACGGTTGCGCTCGCCTGCTCGCCAATGGCTGGTGTGAAGATGGGCACTTCCAGCGCGGGGCGCGACAGGTTCTGAGCCAGCCGCTGCTGATAATCAAGAAACTCGGCCTGCCACCCCAGCAGCATCTATGGTACAGGGCACGGTAGGTGTAGAAACGGTTGCAAGTTGTTCATTCTCGCGGCGATGGTGTGGTGCAAAAGGGCTAACTCTCATCTGGTGGGCGCACTGACCAGTGTGGGATTGATTGGGGCTCCCATTTCCGCCCAGCGTCCCTGGTGATCAAGGCCAATAAAGGCTCCAGCACGAGGCGCGGTCACGTAGGTCATGTTGACGGCTTGCGAATTGCGTAGCTGCTTCAGCAGCGAGTCATGACGAGCAATGGCCGAGCAGAATCCATGATCATCATTGCCATCCCAGAGCCCGTTGTCCTCAAATGAGCCTAGGTTGGTGCACACCCACTCGCGTCACAATCAGGTACAGGGCGAGAGCCAGAGCCTGACTCAACAGCGGGCTGCCGGTGCAAGCTTAGAGCAGTTGGGCGACTGCCGAGTGATTGACTGCAGGGCACACACCAACCTTGGCCAAGCAGGGGAAAGCTGCTTGGTGCATCATCTACCATAACCACCACGCCAGTGGCGTTGCTGCCCATGATGTATTGAGCTGCTTCGTCCGCAGAGCAGCCAGCATGGCCTAGCAGTCGAGCAGAATGGCAAGTGGGTATTAGGAGACATGATAAAAGCAGGCCATTTTTATTGTTTGGGCACCGACGTACCGGTTAGATCAGCCAACCCCACGAGCGAAACTAGATTCTCAGGAACAGGGGCACATGGATTCTCAATCAGCTTGAGCTGCAGGCCAGCCGCAGGCCAGGCTTGTGTCGGGCTGCTGGGTGAATGGTTGGTCCACTCGACCACGTTGCAGTATTGAAAGCGCCCGTCCAAGCGCACCGTGCTTGTCCAGTTGCCCTATCGTGCACACCGTGCGCAAGATACGCAGTAAAATAAGACGGCGAACTTGAGAAGACGATTGATGAAGAGCCGCTCCGGTTCGAGACATGCTCACGTCTAGAGAGGACCACGCGATGGCCCGGGTCAGTGTTGTCCATGAGGCGAGTGTGTTGAGCAGGGCATGTGTAGGATCGTGGGCCAACAGGTCTGGGACCGGGGCTGCAGCAATCATCAGTTTTGAGGCCCACTGCAGCGCCAGTGCCGAAGGCAGCTTCTGCAGCTCCTGGGCTCGCCAATTCTTGAGGTACACAAGAGATTCCGCATCGCTGCCCAGAAACAAAAAGTCCACGGGCAATGACGCATTGAGGGCAAAAAATTCTTGGCTGCCGTTGGCATACCCAAGCATGGCACCTGCGCATGCCGGAACAAGCATCGTGAACCAGATTCATGCAGGGTGCATGCAACGATCGCGAGCACAAGAGCTGACCATCAAAGGGATCGCTGGCATTGAATACAAACACAACGAGCGGCCGATGCGTTACAGCGCGCTGCTCAAAGCTAAGGAATGCCCGGTGGATGGATGGAAGGTGAGCATGCAGACGTGATGCAGATGGGCAGTGGCAGTGGCAGTGATCGAGCCTGGCAAACACAAACATCGGGCACCAACACTACCTAAATACACGCCCATCGGTCAAATTGACCTCGAAATCCCGTGCCAGATCTCCGGGTACCGGGCCATCCACAGGCAGCACTTCCTGACCCAGACTGTACCCAACGACGAGGCACAGCAAGCCGACCACCCGCCAGACTCTTGGCGCGCCTGCCATTTCGACGTTCTGATTAAACTTTCGATTTGATAAAAAAAGAATCTGGCCTTTCGAGAATTTTTTTAAAAAAAAAGTTTAAAAGTTTAACTGTGATGAGAAGGGTCAGGGAGCTTCGTCCTTTTTCTCACTTGCCATCCAAGGCACCACCGCCTCGACTTGCTGTGAGCTGCTGTACATCTGATTGACATCGATTCGAACTATTCTTAGGCAAGAGCACATCAGTTTCGATTGGGCATGTACTCCTGCAGTGTAGGGATGCGCAGCCGGTTGCCGTAATATGCGGCCACTGGGCTTGTTTGTTCGTCACAAACGAGCATGTTGCTGAGGAGAATTGCAGTCATCATGTAGCACTCGACAGGGCGGTGTCGCATTCTCAGCTGAGGAGCTTGGGTAACGCCCTGAAAGCGACTGGTAACCCCGTGGCCCGATGCACCAAAGGCAAATTCGACAATCACCTGCAGAGATTTGTAGACCCGATCCATCGCCCCTTGCTTTTGAGTCTTTTTCTTGCGCTTGGAGCTCGGCGAGGCATGGGTCACTCGGTCACTCCGTGTGTAGGCCAAGTCACCCAGTAGCTTGTATTGTGGCTCGTCGGGCAAAGCAGCGTCCAGGCGTGCAACCAGGTTCTTTTCCGCTACAACCCGCGATTCATGGACGGCACCTATGGAGCAGGTTGCAAAACATCAACTCTGGCTGACACGAGCAGTTCTCAAATGAACAAGCCTTGACACATACTGGCCCAAGGACCGCAGAATGAAGTGATGAGGCCATTAGGTAGCACCACGCCTTGATAATCTAGAACATGGGACTGATGTAGAGAGCACGTGAAAGGTCGGAAGACTGTCGAAAGCAGCAGAAGACAGCAAGCACGTACGTCCTGGTTGCCTGATAGCGCCGCGTTCTGCTGCCCCTGACCCTTGCTGCAGAGTAGCTGGGCTGTCCCGTCGACAAAGCCGATGATGCCCTGGGTCAGGCGATGCTTGGCGCGTGTGGCGGCAGCTGCTTGCTCCAGCCATGGCGCCTTGAAATACCGTCCATCAAACTCGAGCTGTTGTTGAAACTTGGAGGCCACGGCAGTGGCAAATTTGTTTACCACTTTGGATGCTTTGCTGGGATCCCAGGATACCCCAAGCCGGCGCAGAAGCTCATTGCTGACGCGACCCGGGCGATGCATGAGCCCCATGAATGCCAGCAACGCCTCTTCCACTGGAACTATAAAGTCCTTGTCCGTGAACGCAAGAGCTGATGCCAGGCGTTTGAGCTGTTCATAACCAGTGAGCCCAAAATCTCTTTGCCAGACATTTGGGGAGATTGCGGTGAAATCAACATGGGGCGTGCCGTTTGGAACGACGGTCAGCGCGGGCCGCAACACAACCTGAGCGGCAACGTCATGCACATAAACAGCTCGGCGGCAAACGTCTATCAAGTCGCCCCAGGTCACATGGAAGCTGGGATCGCGGAGCTCCCGTCGCCTCAGCACGATGAAACCAATCACCACCACCCGCAGCCCCAATATCTTGCCTCGGTGATCAGCCTCCGCCACCGCCTTCCGACGGGCAGCCGCTGAGTACCGCTTGTCGCGCAGCATACGCTGCGGCGTCACGTATTGTATCCGAGGTCGAGCCATGCCAAGCGCTGCCGCAGATCCAATCCACCAAATGCGCCATGCCTCTAGCCAGCTCCGACCAACACCTCAGGTCATCAATCAGGCATCACAACAACGACGGCGATCACTTGGAGCCGTCCGACAGCTAACCCACTTGGGCAACATCCGATTTTAAATTTTACCACGAATTGTCATCATGTCATCGTTTTTGGAACTGTGTGTCTACTTGTCAGAATTTAATTGTCAGAATTTCAAGTGTCAAAAGCAACAACTCCTTCTTTAATTTTCAGAGCGAAAGAGCGAGCGGAGAGCGAGAGCGGAGAGAGCGAGCGGTGATGGCAGGAAAGAAAACGGGTGCGGTGGGGGCTGGGGCGGCTGGCAATGGGAGGAAAGCGGCGGAAACGACCAAGAAGAGCAATGCTGCCACTGGTGATGACGTGCCTGGTCTGATCTCTGGGAGTCTCGTGCTGCGTCTGGCGGTGCTGGCGGTGCTGGTTGCTGTCTTGATTCAGCTGTTCTGGAAGCCGACGGATTCTCCAGTGGCGCCAGCTCCGACGCCATCGGCTGCTCCAGGCACACCGTCGCCAGCACCCACTGCAGCGCAAAGTCTCCCCACAGCCGCCATCCCAGACCTCAAAGCCCGAGCCGAGGAAGCCATGGCAGATTCGCGTACCACCTGCAATCAGCTCATTCGCGCCGCCAATGCCTATCTCCAGGTATCGCCAGCTCGCTGCCCGGCGAACGACCGCTGTATCGTATGGCTGCGCTGAGGATGGCGCACTAAACAACTGGTGCTCTTGGATCTCGATCTAACAACGCCTGTCTTTGTCCCCTCTCTGCAGCAAGGTCGGATCCAAGAGGCCCTCGATAAATTCATGGCTTGTGCTGACCTCCGACCTCAAGATCCTCGTGCCCATTGGCGAGTGGGCCTTGTTCTGGCGCGTGTAGGTGTTTTCCATGTGCTTTGCATTTTTAATGTTTGCTGCTGCCCTGCCATTTCTCGGATGTACGCCACCTGCTCCCATATGGCACACATCACCTTCGTCTCTCGTCTGGGCGTGCCTTGCGTGAGTACATAGGTGGAAGACTACGACAATGCGTTCTCCTGGATGGACCAGGCGATTCAGCTGGAGCCAAGCAATTCAGACTTTGTGGCCGTGCGTGGCGAGTGGGCCCTCAAGGCAGGGCGCGTGGACGATGCTGTCGAACAGCTGGAGCGAGCGCTTGAAATCATCCTGCACCTTGACCCTGGGACATGGCGCAAAACTCTCTTGCAGGTAAGCACACCTCACCCTGGCGCCTCATAGCGGCATGTGCCCTGGTGTACCTGTCACCTGACCCCTCCCTAAATTTGCTTTTGTTTTTGTCATAGTCGGCTGGGAGTGCTCCGGAAGATTTGGTGTGGCTTCTTGATGCGGGACCCAAGGTCCGTGCAGCCGCACTCACACTCGCACTCACACTCGCCGAGCGCGTGGGTTGAGCGGCCTGCTACAGTCGCGCTCGTGCCTCTTCCCCTCTTGTTATTTGGCCACTTCTCACTTCATGATTATGCGCGGTCCTGCAGGTGGAGCGGGTGCTGAAGCAACTCGTGCACGTTTATAAGCGAAGCCATTATTTGGCCTTTGCGCACGCGGGCCTCGACGTGCTGGCCACCATGTTTCCCAACAACGAGGCCCTGACCCAGGAGCATGCCGAGTACAGCTATGGTTCGTCCATACCAAGGTCTTGGCCACGTTCATAGCCCAAATGCTGCGTCCCGTCTGTCTTGGTTATTGTCCCGCACTGACAGGCGTCAACTGCCTTTACGTGTTGAACAGGGCTAGGGCTGGTCTGGACTGGCCTGCAAAGTAGTCTCAACAGTCTGCAGGCGCGCTTTGAGGCCGCATATCCACAGGGCGATGCACGAAATGTACGACACACAAAAGTGGCGCGACACAACCCTGCCAATGCTGTGTGTACGCCATGCCCGCCATACTTTTGAGCTCAAAGGGTGTCTCGTGGTTGCCGCGTCTCTTAGGCGGTCTTGGAATCGGCTCTCCTGTTGCTGACAGCAGGCCTGGACAGTCATTTTGTCAATGTTGCGCGCAGCGTTCTCACGGCTCGTACGTTCCGGCGTTTTCTTATTCGCGGATCTTGCCGTGTAAACTCGGTGGTGCATCGCCGAGCTCACGATTAATCGTTTGCCTCTCGCTGTTGGCCTCATCAGACGACGTTGATGAGCTCAAGGTTCTAGGAGATGCATGCAACTTTGATTGGCCCGCGCACCTCGTATCGGCCGACTTTGTACCAATGGCGGCTGTCCGCGCGTTTTTTGCTTCGTAAGACTGGTCCACCCGTTCTTGGCATTGCTGTCAGCTGCACCGCGCCTTGACAGAAGCAATTCTGTGAACCTAGTTGTCTGAACGTGCAGGAGGTCGTGCAACATGCCCTGACCCTTCACCCCAACGGAACAAAACGTATGCCCGGCGAGCTAGCACATATTTCATTGACTTGTGTCGGCCTGGCTCACCTGCTGCTCGTTGGCTGTGTTCCGTGTCTGTCAACAGTGAGCAATGGCTTTGGATTTTCTGCAGTCCACAATGCAGCCGCCGCAGGCTTGACTGACCTGTTATCACAGCTCATTAATGCGGGTGCCGTCCTGGCAGCCCGCAACTCACTACAGCAGACCCCACTTCACGTTCGTTCCCCTACCGGCCCGGGCCCTCGTGTTCCGATCGTGGTGTTTGGTGTATTTACTCAGCTGTGTGTATTGACCTTGCTGTTTCTTTTCTTTTGGTTTGTTTGTTTCTTTCTTTCTTTCTTTCCTTTTCTGTGCCCCCAGCTGGCTGTCATGCGTGGGCATGCAGAGATGGTGCACCTGCTCGTGCAGCTAGGACTACCAGTGGCCGGCAAGGACAGCTTTGGCCGCAGCGCATTAGACATGGCTTGCCTGCACTACTGGCATCAATCTGCTCTTTTACCCTTGCTGCACGATGGGAGCTGCCCAGACTCGACCAAGCCGTTGCGTGCACCGTACGTGCCGAGCCATTTCTTGCCAGATCCCTCTTGTCAGCTTGTCTTCTGGTTGCTGATTTGGCCTTGCTCAAACGACGTTTGGGCTCGCCGCAGCTTGGTGGATACGCCTTTGGAGATGGGTGGATGGAAAATCCATCCCGACCTGGCTGAAGGGGAAGCCCGAGTGAGTTGATAGATTGAACCTTCTGCCTTGTGTGTGCTGTTTTGAGGACCGTATTTATCGCTGCTTGGTCTGGTCGACGCCCACCGGAGGCTCATAGCTCGGCTTTGTGCGGTGTAGCACACGTGTGAGATTGACGTGGTCCAGGATATCGATGCGGAGACATTTTTGCGGGACTACCTGAGTCTCCAGCGACCCGTTTTGATTCGCAATGCGCTCGGCACCCCGGGCTGGGAGCGCGTGCGCAAGCATTGGCAACGCGATGCTTTCTTTAATGTTTTTGGTGGTGCGTGCTTGAGGTGATCGGCTGGTACAGAAAGTGTTTCCAAGCCGCTGTGCTCAGGCATTTGTGTGTTCATGGTGCCACAGACTTGACCTTTCCCAAAGGCGCGATTCCCTATGCGGGGCGCTTTGACAAAGAGGAAAACATTACATCCATTCGCGGCTTTATGGCCGAGATGGACGATGTGGCTGAAGCTTTTGCCAAAGGTGAATGTTGTTGAGCTGCGCTTGCTCCTCTGTATGCTCTGAAACTAACATGCATTGAAATGTGCACGCAGGCATCACGACGCCCGTGCCGCCACAATATATTTTTGCGAGCTTGGCGGGCGAGTCGCCACTGCTTCAAGATGCAGAAGTACCACGTGCCCTGAACCCAAGCATTACCGAGATCGCGTCACGCAACGTCCAAGTACGAGTCTTGATGTCACGGCTGTGCCCACGTCATTCGATTTGTCCGGCGTACTGGCTCATCATAGCCGTGACCATGTATTAGTTTTATCTGGGGCCTGTCGACTCGGGAGCCCCTCTTCACGTGCACAGGTGCGTATGCTTTACAAAAAAAAAAAAAAAAAAAAAAAAAAAAAAAGAACAGTCACACGAGTCTTTGTTGGTGCCGATGGTCTCATCGCGATGGCCCGTGATTATGCTGTTACCAGTGGTGCGTGGAATGCATTGGTGTTTGGCTTGAAGCATTGGTATCTGCTGCCTCCGTCCCACGCGGTGTACGATGCCAAGCCGGCTCGCGAGATGGTGGACGACGATTGGCCCACGCTCAAGTAAGATCTGGCTGCAACAGCGCTGGGAGGCGGGGGCAATGTCCCATGCTCTGCTCGAGTTGGCATTATGTGGCGGTTTTTTTTTCTCTCACGGGCATATTTTCGCTTTGGTGTAGGGCCCAAGGGCTAGAGTGTGTGCAGGGCAGTGGGGACGTGATGTTTGTACCCGAGGCATGGAGCCACGCCACGCTGAACTTGGCCGAGAGCATTGGTGTGGCCTCTGAGTTTCAGTGGGGCATGGCCGAGTTTGCCGTGGATGCGCCGGCCACCCTTCCTTGAGAGGCATGAGTCCCAATCATTGTTCTTGTTCGTATACTGCAAGCACAGCAAAGGTTCGGGCCTTCAATTGGCGGAAGAGCTGTGAGGACACGAGCGGGTCACGCGCGCTTGGCGCGTCGTGAACTCCGGCGCAGCCGGTACCCAGCGGGGCGTGCCTACATCATTGCCTTGGTGGTCATGATTGTGGTCTTGTTCCTGCTTTGCCCCATGCTAATGACAACCAGGGGCTTTTTGCGTTGGGGCTGGCGGGATGCTTGGCGTGTAGCTTTGTCTGCCTGCGGGCTCGGGCAGCAGAGGTTCACAATTGACCAGAGACCACCTTTACCATCGAACCCTGAGACCTGGTGTGGCAGCGACTGATCATTTACAAGGTGGCATAGTTTGGAGAAAAAGACGTGATGAAGTAGAGAACAAATTGACCCACACCCCAGGCCAGAGCCTATGGCGTTCGTCGGCGCGGGTGATTTGGGCAAGGTGAGAGAGTGCGGAAAGCCCATGAAGACAAAAGCTCGTGGCATCGGCAGTCCACAGACCTCAGTCGTGGTCATCTTGAAACCTGCGCTGGTGTAGATGCCGGCAATCAAGAGTGCGGTGATGAGGCCCACGACCGCTGAAAACAAGAGTCCAAGGCCGGTGAAGATGATGGGTAGCAGCATGACTACGGTGATCTTTTCCCGGCGAAACTTGAAGGCAGCCACCAAGCCCGCGATGGCATGGGACACACCAAAGGCAATCAGGTCCCATGTCCAAATTGTCTGCCACATGGCTGAGTCAAGAATCGGTGATGAGAAACCGGGCACACCAGCGCAGGCGCCAGCCCACCGCCACCATGCCTTGAACGTTCGACACGCACCGGAAAAGCCATCAAGCCGCACACCAAAGGTAAACAACCCCTGAATACCATCGATCGTGCGGACCGTGTCCACAGCCGAGTTGGACATGACGCCTGATGTTCTCTTCCCCCTCAAAGGGGCAACCCGGCGCCTCAACGCGATCAGCTCAGAAAAAATGAAAAAAAAAAAAAAAACGAAAAAGCTATGTCTAAGCGGTAGTGTGATCTTTTACACACTTCGCACAACACTAACAAGCCAATTTGTGTGTGGGGGCTGCAATAAGAATGTGCACAAACTGGTCGTTTCGAGTTGATAACTAAAACTGTTGGTGTATTGTAATCTTCATAAACCTCCACATTCACAACAAATATTAAATAGATCGAGATTTTTTTGCAACTGTCAGCCACTCTCTCTCTCTCTCTCTCTCTCCTCTCTCACAAACCAATTCATCTCTCTCTCTCTCTCTCTCTCTCTCTCTCTCTCTCTCTCTCTCTCTCTCTCTCTCTCTCTCTCTCATTTCGAGTTGAACCGTTCGGCTCCGGCGTTACGAAGGAAAACGGCAGCCCGGCTGATCCTGGGGTTTGATGGCTGGGAAAGCAGCGATGGTAATACTGTGTTAATCAGAGGACTGTTTATATCTTGGCACCAGCTTTCTTGTGTTTTCCTTTCAAGCCCCGGATCATTGTCGCTGCTGTCGGCGCGGAGACGGACGGAAGAGGTCAATGCGGTGTGTGTTGCATCTGGGGACTGACTGCACAGTCATCTTATCGAGCACAAGGTACTGCCAACTCGGCTGTGGCTACGACTGAGTCTTGCCGTGTGCGCACATTGCTTGGGCATTTCATGGAGCCAGCTGATCTGGTGTCCATGTGTGTGGACTTTGTCTCATTCATCAACTGGCTATGCAAAAGTAGGGGGGTACCGCCCATCCAGCAACACGTTTGCCGCCAGGGACGAGCGTGAGCCTTGCGCTGTCCTGCCTTTATCAACCGATCTGAAAGCAGAAGCAGCAACTTGTGCTCCTTTCCGCTCGAGCTTCGCCGCTCAAGCCCCTCAGCTCAGCCTGTGGCCTGCCAGACGCAAGTCAACGCACGCTCCATTATGGCGGGGGCGGTGCGCTCAATCTGGCGGGCATCAGTCGCGCTGCAAGCATCCGGATCAGCTGTCTCACGCCAATTTATGACCAGCACCCGCTCTTACGCCTGGCCCACGGCAAGGCTCACCGCGAGACCTGCTGCCGCCTGGCTGCAGACGGCTCGCACCTTGCACGCGCTGCGTCCGATGCATGCAACCCACTACGAGGTCTTAGAGGTCTCCCCATCGGCGACGCCTGAGCGGATCAAGCAGGCCTACATTGAGCTGAGCAAGCGCTACCATCCCGACCGCAACGCCACTGCAAATGCTGACGAAAAGGAGAATGCACATCGTCGCTTTCAAGAGGTCGGCGCATGTTTCAAACACCTCGCCCAGGTCGGGTTTTGTTCAACGGCTCTCACCTCGACACTGGTGAAACCCGTTCCCACCGACATAGATCAGCGAAGCCTTTGCAACTCTGAATGATCGCGTTG